CCCTGTGTGTGTGGTGAGTGGGGGTCTTCTCCAGCTCAAACTGGAATGTACCAGAGTAATTTATCATTCTGAGGTCTGTGAGTCAGGATGAAAAAGATGTGTAATTGCCTTAGGAAAAAAGAAGCATGGTTTAGGAAATCTATGTGACCCATTTCACAATAAAACATTACAAGGCTACATAGGCTTTATAGAGCAGAAGTGCCATCACCACAACGAATCCGACTGATTTCAACCTGATAACATGAAATGGAAATTTGAAACTACTTTTTACACTCAGTCTGTTGATAAATCAGTTGTGAAAGAAATAAAGCTATTTTTGGATAGTGGTGGTATGAAAGTTATCACCTCAACCTCCCTTGACTCCTATAACAACAATTGCCTTGAAATGCTCTTTGCAGCGTGCCTGCTGCATGTCTGCACAGACACCCCTTAATAATGTGGTGTATACAGAAGCCTTAAAACAGAATGACTCACCTTTACTAAAGAGCTGAGTGACGGAGAATGAAAGCTGATCCCAGTCACATAATATTACAAATAGCCAGTGGCTGAGTAATGACAGCTCTTCAAAAACTTACTTATTCAACCTCATTGTCTTCTATTTTGTACAGTCTTTGCAGCACTGTTCTACCATCAAACCTGTGAGCCACTCATGATGATGATAATGTATTGAGCTGCCCTGCCAATAATTCAGAGTACACAATCCTCATCATGTACTGACTTGTAAAGCTATAAAGACAGAGCTATTCATATAGTCAGTATATGCAGAAAAATCATGCTCTGAGTTAAATCATCAACATGACATCAGAGAAAAAGTATCTGAACTTGGTGAGTCCAGAATGTTCCCAACAAGTTCTCTGAGGTAAGGTAAGGTCAGTTATGTAGAATATTCCTTAGTATAAAAACAGTATAGTAATAGTTTGAACCTTCATTACTAAGATTGGTGGACTCACAGAATGCTCATTAACAAGATTAATAACTGGCTGGTTGGCTGTCACACTGGAAAAATCCAGGTTGTTTTCCCAAACTTGGTTACATGCACCTCATCATATGTGAAAACAGTCTTTCCCTTTAAATGTCCAATGATCCTCTGCTCCCATTAGACTGTAATCTGAGAGCATCTGTCTTTTTATGTTTCTAAATAGTCTTAAATATGTATTCCCTTGCCCTTGCCTTCAGAATGTACAGTAGGAGGTTTTTTCATTTTTATGTCCTGTTTCAATATTTCATTGAATCCCTTTATGGGCACGCAGTGAACTTTCACCAAGTACATCGGGTTCTCCCTTGAAAAGACAGCAGCTGTGTAGTGTTACAGCCACTTTATGGCCTGCCAGTAATAATACTGTATCTATTCACTGATGAGGTCTCTTCTGTTTCTGTCTTTCTCAGTGCTTACAATGCTTGGCACTGTAAGCCTTCACTCTATGTCATTAGAAATCATTTTTGTATAAAACAAACATATATGTCAATTGTGCTGCTGCTGTTTTAAAACCCACTGGCTGCGTCAGCATTTTTTCTGTTAAAAATCTATTGGTGTGTATCACGCAGGGAAGGAGGGATCTAGTTAGACTGAAGAAGGGACCCTCCATGTAAGAAGAAAGCTTGATGATGACCTCATAGCACAGATTTGTTTGCCACATTTGGCTGGAAAGGCCGAGCTACTCAAACTTGTTTCCTGGAGATGCAGGGGCCAGAGCTGAACTCCCTGACTCTGGTGAAGTTTAAATCAGTTTACACTCTATGAAGTGGTTAACTGCTGAGTCACATTCCCTTAAGTGGGTGACACAAATGTAGAAGTGCAACAACATGTCATGCTGCAGTGTTTGGGGTTAGTGTAGAATGTGTGTTACATAGCTGCAGTTTTTGCATTTGAATGGGACATACGAGCAGCACCATGAGTCTTCTACCCCCAAACAGATCCAAATAATAAGGAAGTAATGTCACAATGGCAAGAAAACATTCTAAAACTATCTTCTTAGTCCTATTTTTATGTTTGCAGTAGCACTTTCTAAGATTGACATCACAATATTAGATGTTCTGAGACTTTCCCATTGTTTTGTGGCAGACAGGATAATAATTCAACTCCTCGTTTGGCTTTGTTTAGCCAGAGCAGACATATGAGGCTGTATTATTTGGATTTTTTTGGGGGTGGGGGATCTTGGGACTATTTATCAAATTCTTCTCAGGCTTCCTCTGTGTAGGTGTTTCTGGGTTTGTGTTTACGCAGGAGCTAACATTTATGCTGCCATCCCATGAAACTATCAAGTTTGGCGGTATGATGACCGGCTCACATGCAGGGAAGAAATTGTACATTAAAGTCACGTTCAGTTGTTCACCGCTCTCTCCTGTAATGTGGGTTCACTTGTAAAATACACTGAGGTCAACAAATGTTTCTTGTTAAGTCTGGACTGACTTAAAGCTAATGGTTTAAAAATAAGATGTGCAATTTAAAGGCTCATATAGATTTTGGGTGAAGTTCATAGTTTGTCACTAGTGGGGAAAAAAAGTCCAACTCAGAATTTAGATGGGATGTAAAACCAAATATCAAGTTTTATATTTTCCTTGATCTCCACAAACAAGGCTTTATTTTGTTCCTTTACAGTGTAACCAATCAGTTGGCTAAAAAAAAAAAAATTAAACTACATTTATTTTAGTCTCCTATTTATTTTTCATGATTTCATCTTATTTTTCATCTCCTTTGTTTTTTTTCTTTGCTTTTTCAGAGCTGAACTGAAAGTGGAAGATACACACTCTTTTCCAGAAACATCAGTGATTTCACTAATATTTCTTACAGTTACAGTCTGCCCCAAAATCACTAGGTTCATCATTAGTTGCATTATTTGTTTGTTTATTAGTTTTTTCCATGGGAGCTGTTAAAACAATAACAACATTCACCTATACTGGTACCATTACATATCACCTATGTCTGGAGTGAATGGCAATTTGTGCTACAATATGGAAACCCCAGAAACACGCTGCTGTTTTCAAATGACAATGATAGAAATGTTAAATAAGTTACTGAAGCTAGTGGTTAGTCAGGGCATAACATCAGGATCGGTTCTAAACCTATGCAAGCCAGTGCAAAAACTGTGAATCTGTCATGGTCAGAGCTATAGGAGTCAAACACTGAACAGAAAACAGGAAATGTTTAAGTTGAATACAATGTTGTGGTCAAAGGTAAGTGGACGTTTGAGTCAAGGTACAGTAAGTGGTAAAGATTGTTCCACAAAGTACTGAATCTCTCTCAATGAAATCCTTAAACAAGCACCAAGCCCAAGCAGTGGGCATAACAACACAAGTGGCAGTTGAGCCGTAAAATAAATAAAATAAATAAATAAAGGGGGGACAACATAAGGTGAGAAACAGGAAGTGCAACAACCAAAACAGAAGCATGAAACTGGAAGGAATTACAAATTCATTCATATGCCGTGTACTGCCAAAGCTTCAGTGTATCACCTAAAAATGTATTTGTACTTTGAGTTTTTACTGTGGCTCAAGTCTCATCCACTGACATATACTGGTACCATTACATGTCACTAACTGTGTGTCTCCTCTCTCCCGTAGTGTGTCCTCTCTCTCCCTGTGCCTTTCTGCCTCTGGAGCTCTATGTTTCTGATGAGCAGTCCGGTGGAAGTGTTGCATTGGGCTAGGCAGTGTATTTATTCATTTCTTTATATGTAAAGTTTGGGTGCCCTCTAGTGGAGTGAACCCATATTGCACATTGACACATGCTTGAATGTACAGATTGCTGTCCCTTTGTTTCCAGTGTGTTCACTCTATGTCTAATTTGTGCTCTGTTTTCTGTAGTTAGGATGGATAAATGTGATAATCAGGAATTAGGAGGAGGATAAAAAATTGACTGCCTATTTGTCAAAACGTGACAAAGATCAAAACCCCAAGACTGACCAGAGATTGAAACATCGCTTTAGTGAGCTCTGCCAACCCAACATTTCAGTTCCATCTTTGATTTTAAAAGTTAAAGACACTGTCTGTGACACCTCCAGAGACAGACAAAAATTCAGGGAAACATGCTATTATAATAATAATACAGTCATTTGAACGGTGGTCCTTTAAGAAATTAAACCACATTTATTATTTACAGAATTACCGTAAACCTTTGAGTAGTTCTTTTGAAGCAGCACATCCTGCTGTAGACTCACAGCATTAAAAGCTCAGGTAAGCTTTGTTTAAAATGTTTAATCTCCACCTCATCTAACACAATTGTTAGCAACAGGTCGGAACACCCAGTTTCAAGGACGCCTGAAATTATGCTCACAATATGCCTCTAATACATTGGAAACACAAAGTAAATTATTTTAGATAAAATGTGATGCCATTTGTATTCTGGTTTGTGGACACCTTAGCTATTTATCCATATGTACTTCTACTACTTATGTATGAATGTGTCAATCAGCAGGCTGTTGTCAGTCAACAACACAAGGGTGGAGTATTAGGTAATAATGCAGGTGGTGTGCAAAACAAATTTATTCAAATTATAGCAAAACAAATGGGGCTCTTGGGCCCCCTGTGGTTCTGGGTTCTTCCGGTCTTTTGCATGCCTATTTGTGTATTTGAAATGTGAAGCCTTACTGGCAGACAGAGGTCTTCATATCTGAAGGCACAATAATAAAACTGTTGTTCTGCGTGAGCCGAATTCGTTCCCTCTTGAAACTTACCAGAGCTATTTTTTTTTTGTTTTTCAATATTAATGTAGCCTAATGCATGAATACACAAGCTCCTTTTTATTCAGCTTAAAGGACAAATGCTTAGAACAATACAGGAAGATACTGAATGTATTTCTCAGTATAAAAATGCCATCATTTGTTAAAATTTGATAAGTATGCATGTGGCCTAGTGCTGCTGGTGGCTGTGACTTATACCTGTGTATTTTAGTTGAGAGGGGGGGAAAAAACCTATTTGTACAACATATTGTTGTGCATACATCAGTGACTTCACATGGTCTGTGGTTGTCCTCCCGAGTCACGTGGTCATGCTGAGCATCCTTACCAAATCCAGCAGGCTGGGTGGCGCGTCCTCACCAGGCTGCGCTGCTGCCGTGTGCACCTCCTCACGTCTCTCGCATCTGCTCTTTTCTACCGCTGGACTGCTCCTCACAATCACAGGTAAGTCATCGCAGCAGATTCGCTGTTTTATTAATCCGTGTTAAAGCCGTGAGATCGCAGTGGGCATCTACGCACTGGCATCAAAATGATGCTGAGTCGCTGTCTGGGTACTTGCTATGCAACAAAGCGTACATGTGCCCGAGGAAAGTAAATGACTGTCTGATGGTGCACAGCTGAGATTTGTGCTCTGACTGAGACGTGCAACTATATAGACCATTGTTGAAGACTCCGTCCCTGCAGGTACGGTGTTGTCACCGGGCGCAGGGCTGAGAGGCAAAGACGTCTTCATTGTGCAGATGGAGCAGCTCGATCTGCTCCGGAGGCGGTGGTTTACTGATTGTAGCATGAGGTCGTCTGTGAGCTGCATAAAATAATTCCAGACTCAGGTTCAAAGAGAGGCTGGAGGTGGATAGGTCATGATGACTCAGCAACCACGGAGGAGAGTAAAGTCATGGTGCGTCACAGGATTTCCAAAAAAGCAGCTGTTTGTTTTATTCTTGTGGAAACCAGATGAGCTGAGGTAACCTGACATTTTTTGGCTTCAATTAATCACAAGTAAGGAAATTACGAATTGAGTGCAGGTATTGATTATTGTAGCATTCGTGTCTGAGGAATTAGAAGCAGGCAGTGGGATTTGAAAAGCTGTGCAAGTGAATAGAAGGCAGACAGCTTTAAAAACACTACAGTTACTACATAGCACATTTCACACAGAGGAAGCTCAAAGTGCTTTACATAGACAAAGAGAAACATTAACAGCATTATAAAACTAAAAGCATTAAAGTCGGACAAGATAAAGATAAAACATTGTTAAAGTCAGATTAAAAAACAAATTAAAATAAAAGGTCAGAAACAACGATCTAGTTACAGTGGATTAACAAGTTATAAGCTACATTGTCACGAATGCAACACATAAAACAAAAGTGCAGCGGAGAAACTGAAGGTTTCAAGCTTTTTGAAGAGATCCATGTTAGTGCACGGGACAAACTACAAATTCAAAATACATCTGAAAAATCTTTTTCAGTCCCAAATGTGATTTTTCTCAATTAAGTAGATATTATAACACTGACCTGTGCAAGTGGTAACGGTTCTTATACGTTTGTGTTTAATAAGTTATTTGATGATGTAGAAAGGGGCCATATTGGATGACCTGACAGCTTTGATTGGCAGTCTGATACCGTGGCGCCACCTCTGGTCACAACTGCACAGAATCTGGGTGCAAAATGCATCACAAAAGCGAGATGACTGCCCCTGCATTACTTTATTTAACTACTACTATTATGTTATATTGTATGGAAGCAGGAATTGTAGAGCGACATCACAAGGCCTGGACAAAACAATTGCCTGGCTGCATACAAGTAGAACTATGGTTCTTTGAGACCAACCTTTAAAAAATGAGCCCATACCGTTTGTCATTTGTGGCAGCAGCTTATTATGACTGAGAGTAATGTTTTATATTTAGGTGACCTCTAGTAATTATGACATAAGTGAAAGAGGAAGTCTGTGTTAGGATGTGGTGGGGTTGGATCAGTGGGTTACAACCATAAAACTTTGCTGTAGTGTTTATCCATGACCTTTCCACAACCTTAACCTTGTGCTTCTGATCATGTAGAACATGAGCGACCGTGTCTCTAAGTTTGTTGCCTACTTGTCTGTTAAAGAGATGCAGGCCTACATCATCTGGAGTGGTTAGACTTGGCCTGGAGTCCATGTTCAGACCGACAGGAGAGTGTTTGCATTGTGTTGTCAGACTACAGCAATGGCTGGCACGCATGATGTTTTAACAGTGCCATCTGTTCATTGGTAGTATTAGTGGTACCACTGACTGGTTTAACAGGGTAACTCGTGATTCTGCACCGCACTGTAAGTGAAGTCGTGTCCATGCTCGTCAATATGTCCTGTGAAACTCTGCAAGATGTCTCTGCACTGAAGCCAAGACTAATTCTATTCAGTTTTTGAAAAGCAGGCTCTGGTTTCTTAGATATAATGATTCCTAGATAACAGCATTTACCAATTACTAAAATGAACAATCTGTGTAGAATATTTGTTGCAGTTTATGATAAAATAGGTTCCTCACCACCTGAGATGGTTTTCATGGCAGCTTTTTGGTGGCAATCCCATCTAAGTGCTTTCCATCCAGTGTTCAGTTGTTTGGTGTCTACTGACTGATCATCACACCATTTTGTCCGATTCTGGAGGTTTAGGTCTTAAGAAAGCTGCAGTTCAAATCCATCTCAGAATGAACAGATCCTCTCATCACTACTGTTAAAATGGTTCTTCATGTGATTAGCATATTCTACTCATCCACAGAAGAAAGTCATGACATTAAACTAGTAGATGCACTGACCCCCCCCCAACATATTTAAGGTCTGTCACTTCTGCATGCAGGCGTGTCCTTCATACATTCAAAGGGTGAGCCAAGTAGCGCTCTCTCATTACACAGCTGGGATGTAGGGGGGTGGGTCATTTGATATTAATGTAACAGGGCATGAGCTGGGTCAGCTTTGACCAAGGTGATCACACACTCCACTGGCCATCAGTCAGATGACACCCTGGGCCTTCATCACAGTCTAAGCTGGGGGAGGCCCATAGGTAGGGAACAAATCTGTCTATAGCATATTCAAACGGCATTGTTGCATGTCCAAGAATTATAGCAAAGGCAGAATAAGGTGTGTTTATATGCTTAATGACATATTACCTGTAATAATAATAATAATAAAATTATCATATCATATCATACAACTATCTTTTGCAAAACCTTTGACAAAGAGATTTCAGTCTGGTGAAACTTCACTGCACCTGTAGCTTGTCTGTGAACATGCAGGGCAGCACAATAATAGCACACTGTACACAATAATTGCCTCAGTGCTCAAGAGATAACCAAACTGTTTTGCATACTCATCACGGCAACATGCTGTTATTTGTGCAGTGTCTTGTGCAAAATGTGAGCTATGAGCCAGCTGTAAATGTCTCAGAGGGAGCGAATGAGTCAGCCAAATAAAACAGAGACAGATGTGAAGCCTCTTATTGTGACAGAAGGAAAACAGCAGCTCTAAAAAGAGAAGGTTCTTTGGGATTTATCAGCTATATTCCATCAACTCCCCACAGTGGCAAAAATTCACATATTGGTTTCTTCATTTAGTCTATTTTATTAATTTCTTTGTTTTTGTTATGCCTCCTCATTGCATACACTGCTGCCAAGCCTGTAAAGCCTGGTACATTTGATAATAACACAGTTACCTCTGTAACAATTAGATTATGATTATGACCCCTATGGGCCTTTCTCTGTGGAGTCTGCATGTTGTCCCCATGCCTGGGTGGGTTTTTTGGATACTCAGCTTCCTCCCCCAGTCCAAAGACATGCAGGTTTGGTTGACTGGACGCTCAGTTCCCCATGGGGTTGCATCAGGAAGGGCAGCCAGTGAAAAACATTGGTGTTGTCTCCAGAATGTTACTGCAGCCTCCCAAGAAATAATCTGCCACATAATCCCTGATAAAAAGGCAAATTGATATCTTTATAATTCGCCTTCCTAAGGATTAAACAGCCAAGATTTAGCATGTTAAATAGTGAGCTTTAGAGGAGCTGGTAGACACATTTTATCATCTAGGAACAGAGCATGGCTACTGTCCAGTTTTTGTGCTAAGCTAAGCTAACCAACCTTTATACATGCTTGAGAGTGGTCTTGACCTTTAGATCTAACTAATAAATGTATTTCCCAAAATGTAAAACAATTCCTTTAAGAAACACCTGTGTTGAGGAGTATTGCAAGGAACTTCACTGTTATCCTCAGTTTAATTGTATTATGATTTGATAATAGTTATACCAGAAGTAGAAAGCTTCCCGATGTCATGATATACGGGAGTCAGTACCAGAGTCAAATTCCTTGTATGTTCATGCATAAACGATTCTGATTCTGATATATCAGAGTTGGTAGTTGATTAATTATATAATCAAGTCAAATACTGCAGAATGTAACACACTGATTCAAAATTTATTTTGCAAACATTTTGGGAAACAGACTAAAACATAACCATTAGCTTAACATTTAGAGTTTTCCCCCAAAACGTCATGTGAGAAGGTGTATATCTACAGTGTTTGCAGTGTGTGCTTGGTTACTGCCCGTGTATTCCTCTTATCAGACTAGTAAATCTGTGTCTCCTGTCCATTCTCCTGCAGGTTATGCCACCCCAAAGGCTTCCTGGCTCCCCAGCCGTGAAAGAGAAAGGCTGATCCCTGATTTTCCCCAGGTTCCTGCTGCTTGGCACCAATCTTTCCCTTCTTCCCTGGTTATTTCCCTCTCCCAACCTTACTAGCTCCTCCTGACTCCTGCATCCACACTTGTCCCGTGCTACCCCTGCCATACTTAGTCTCTCCTGCTTTTATTCCAGCCACGCTAGCCAGACGCTTAGACTTTCTTGTGGTCCCCTGCCTTCTCCAGAGGTCTGCTCTGCACGCCAGGCCCCATGGCTGCAGGAGGTATGGCCCCTGGGATGGATGTGTTGGTCAACCTACAACAGGTAAGAATTATTATTAAACTATACATTAAGAAATTAATGAACACAAAACAAAACAATGTTTGATTATGTTTTTTTCAATTGCTAACACACTGAAATGACACACGTTGGCACAATTAACAAAGCTGACACGTCACAGAATCAACACGTCACAGTTGGCAAACATGACACAAGTTTTTATTTTAACATGAAAATAAAAAATACTGGATTTTGCAGTTGTTTTGTTGACTTCTGAACGTTTATCTTTTTTGCTGATGCCTGCAGTATAGATATCAGTCTCATATGATTATCGTTAAGTCTAGTTCTAGTATGAAAAGGTGTTTAGTTTAGCAAAAAGACTGGAAACAGGGGAACCAGCAAGCCTGGCAAAGGTAAAACCAACCAGCAAAACTAAACAAACTAACACATTATACAGTATTTTGCTGTTACAAAAAACTAAGTGTAAGAATTTGAGGCGAGGCCACTCTTTATGGTAGGCTCTATTACATAATAACCTTCACCTCCATATAGTTCATTGTGATAAGCACTGTGACTGCAGTCTCAAAGATGGAAAAATGGATATACAACCATGGGCAGATGAGAAAGTGTGGATGAGCAAGTCTTCACATGCTTTTTGATCCAGTCATAACTCACTTCTTAGCTGCCATTTCACATTTTCACACAGACCAGCTGCCAAATAGCTGTCAGCAGTGTCTGTTCATCAGGTAAAATTTGCTCTATGCTGAAGAATAATATTTGCTGGATGTGCTGTTCCTGTTTCTCAGTTTCTAGCCTGATGTGGTATTTCAAAAGGATCTGGCTGTAACAGTTCTCCAATGCTAAGGCAAATGCTGCCTTTTGCCTCAGCTTGGGTGTCGTGAATGTCAGTAACAGCTTTTCTAAGTGTTTTCTTTTGGCGTGTGTGTGTGTTCATTTTGCTCAGGTTTTACAAAGCGGTTTGATAAATAGTAAAGTTAAAGGTATGTGTAGCAGGAATCTAACAGTAATACTAACCTTTAGCTCTAAACCCTGGACAGAAATAACTAAATATATCTTCACTGCAGATTGTTTTCCTGATCACTAATGTGGCGGTACTTGATCCTAACAAACATGGCAAACATACAGTGCACACACACTAGCAGCCCACACATATTGGACTGTACCTGATAAATATTTTAACACCTCTCTCTGGCTCAGCATGTTCATGAGAAAAGGTTAGCGTGCATTTAGCTGAAGTGCAGCTTGGTTCAGGTTCCTCATAATTGATTAGAAGAGTCCAAAGCAGCCACAGAGTCAAATATTGTTTCATGCAGATATAAACACACAGCACACACAGTAAACGGGATGCAAAGAGATGCAAGTGCCTTTTCAGTGGTCACTGTGTCAGCAATGGGAGATTTCAGTCTCCATGTTGGCAACACAGCTGAACATGGACTATAAATGCTTTGTGCTCTGTCGGGGGCGGGGGGTTATACAACGTGCTGAAGTTGGTCTCTGACACTGCTGTTTCTAATTATTGCTACAAACCCTCAGTACTATTGTATAAATGTTCAATGACCCAAAATAATTTAGTCATGATAGTTTTTGTTTTCCAGAATTAATACATTTAAAATACGTGTACTGACACAATTGTATACAAGTTAATTTCCTCGGACCACAGTTGTAGCACTTTCCTTGTATCTTATCAATAAAAACTGAGTCAGAGATTTCTCAAGCCTGATACTTCGAATAATGGCCATGAAATCATATCATAACATCAGTGAGTAACACGGCCTTCCAAGTGGCCATACTATGATTTCCACATTTAATCAGAGGTCATCACAGATCATAGCGCTGGTTGAAATACAGCAGTTTCAGGTGCCTTAATGGTGCTTTCTTAACCATCCCTTACATGAGTATTGAAGTTAAAATGAAATTAACCAAAGTTTTGTGACATGGATGCAGTCTTGACTTTAATAGGGCTTAGGAGTTAAATTTATCTCAAAGATTGTAGCCAGACTCCTGAAAACAGCAACCCTAAGTTGCCACGGACCGACTTTTACACTGTTTTAAAAATACTGGGCCTTTAAACATAGTTAGTAACAGCGATTGCTCTGTTTCCCCTGCTATCCTGTCAGGACACTAGCCTGGTGAAAAGTTGCAAGAAAAGCTAATTATGAACTTTCAAACTGTTGATATCATTGATAGAAGGGTGCAGTTTACATGGATCCAGTCACAGCTTTAAAGATATGCTGTGAGGTTTCTGCCCATTGGTGGCGCCATGGAGCAGTGTTCTGAGCCGCTCTCTGATGATTTCACACTGTTTGTGTACATTTTTGGACAAAATCCAGAGGTTGGCTTTAAAAACAATGAGATGTAGTTCTGAGATCCTTGACTCACTGTGTTATTTGTCCACTTATCTCCTTTTACAGAAATACTGGTAAATCTTTTTAATGATAAAATCCTGCTTTTCACTTTCTTCTTTTTCTTGGAAGAGGGGAGTGTGTGGGGGGTGCACTTAGATGTAAGCAAACTGACATAATTTAGAGTGACCAGCTAACATTACCATATGAAACCACACATTTATTCATTTCTGCCTCATTCTTCTCCTCATGTTCTAACAATGTGAGTGAGGGAGGTTGTGCATGGAGGCCAACAATTACCTACAACTCCAGAACTCACCACAGCTCAGCACCGAGCTGTATTTGCTAAGCAACTTCAGCTGTACTGTTGCTAAGACGCGCCTGAATATATTATACTTTACTATTTTATTCAAACGATTTTTTCTCAGACCGAAGAGATATTCAGTTTTTGTGTCTTAATGAATGCAGACGTGCAGTGTAGCCAGAGTTACAGGGGTTTGTTGTTAAACTGTCTTTACTAGAGGATTATACATTTTAGATGAGTTCGCTCATGCATATGAATGTTCAAAATAATACCTGCCAATGAAGTGTATTTTAAATCCCTGCAGTCCCTTGTATGTCGTCCCGTTTCTGTTCAGATACTGTGGTGCCTCGACCACCTGGGCTGGGGTTGCCCTCTTCCTGAGTCCCTCCACACCAACTGACTTCAAAGCTGACATGAAAGTGTTTTGAGTCATTTGAGCACAGCAAAACCAGGTTTAGCAGAAGTCTTTTTACAGTAATATGTCTCTCAGCTGAGAGCATTATTCCATCTTGCATGAGATTCATGGTCTCCCACTGATGAGCAGTGATTGCATGAGCAGAGTATGGAAGTGAGAGGAGCATGGAATTATTCTGAAATGTGATTTGGTTTGTAGGAACATACAGCACCTTGGGTAATGAGCGAAATTGAGCTTGCAGTGGCAACAAGGCTTTTACTGCTCACCCAATTTAAAATTCTCCCATTTATATTCTGTCTGGCCTCAGCCTTGTGTAGTTAGGTAGCTCGGATCATTAAATGCATCCTGTCCCTTTATCCCACTGGTAATTAGGAAGTAATGCAGCCCTGGCACAGAAATCTGAGCCCACAGAGATGTAGCCAGAGTAGAGTATGCACCTTGCCAGCACCAATCCAAGGCAGGGCGTGCGGCCTGTCCCAGTGATTTGACCTATCAGAGGCACCAGATGGCTCTGGAAGGACACTCCCTTCAGCCTCCACTGTCTCCAAGGGTTGCCCAGTGCATTAGTGCTATGCTGCTTAGCACTTTGTTATATCGATTTGATGTCCTCCCTACATGAAATTGGAAGATGTACAGACACTATGTGGCTGTTCTTCTGATATGGAGTAATCATAAAATACATTTAGACTTCTATTAAAAATACACAGGGTTTTAGCTTGGATGTGGGTGGAAACAATTAAACGTTTTGTTAGATTTTGTTGCTATCCACGATTCACAGTTTTAAGAAGTGTGCATTGCATCAGCAGTTTCCTCTAGACATAATATAACATTTGCTCTTATTTAGTATGAATCTGTTCCGTGTGCAGCTGCTATTTCTGATATCAGAGTCTGGCTGTGTTATGAAAAAGGGATGTCTGATTGGATTACCCACTTGGCTAATATGTACACTACAGTAATCAGAGTTGCAAAGTTCACATAATCATCAAGTTCCAAAGCACTGCTGATTGCTTTCTACATGAACAGATGCACCTCTTCATCATAATAAATATTTTTTAGTTTTTTACTAAACTGAAAAGCAGCTTCTCTTAGCCAGAGTTCAGTGATGGTAACAGCATTTACTATATGTAAAGTTACCAGCAGTTTGCACTCCTCCTGTGCTTTATCTCTCACAGTTCTTTTCACAATGTCTTCTTTCTATTTGTTCTTCTTCAGGTGAATGTGGAGGAGGAAGATGAGGAAGGATCCACGGAGGAGCAAGAGGAAGAAGAGGAGGAAGAGGAGAACTGGGAGAAAGCCTTGTCTGTGGAGCGCTTCAGAGACATTATTGGTGACTCTGCCTCTACTAGTGGAGACAGGATGGGCAGACACTACACTGAGAAAGACTTTGAGTGTAAGCAAAACTAAAATGGCTGACCCCTGACTTTTCCCCTGACTTTTCCCCTTGAAGCACCATGAGTTATACCTCCATAACTATTAGGCAGATTGCTGTGAAATTTGGTACTCAGGGTTGAATTGAATTGAATTGTAATTACTTTGTTGATCCCTTGACTTTTCACGTGGTGCTACCATCTGGTCAGAGATTTACATTGGCCAATATTTTGGTCAGAAGAAAACCTTTGTTTTCATATAATATGTGAGTTCTTGGACAAGGTGACTGCTAGTCTTGGTCGGAATGTGTCTAGTAACACAGATGTTTGTGTCATGGCTCAGACTGAGTTTCAATAAGAGTGTGGAAAAGTTTACATGTTGTTTAGTAAAAACTGGCAGCTGGTCCAGGAGCACTCCAGACAGGCTGACATTTGTGAAGTAGTGACAGTAGCTGTTCAGTCAGTAGATACCAGTTTACCACTTGATGCCTTTGACTTTAGTCTTCTTTTTTTAAACACAGATCACAGACACACTTTTCATCATACACACCACCCCTTGTCCACCCACCTGCCCCTGCCCCAGCGTTTACGCAAGAGGGTGCACGCCACGGACAGAAGGCGCAGAAAGAAACGGAAGAAAAAAAAGACATATCTGTCCCCCTCTGACGTTACACCCACCATTCATGAGGTAGATGAGGAAGAGGCGGAGTCTGAGACAGACGGACCTGGGGTGGCTGCCACGCCTACAGAGCTACGCGATATCCAGCCACAGGTAAAATACGACTGAAGAGCCATAGGACCTTTATGTATGGTGTAAAGGTGGCAAACGTGCAAGTGTACTGTTGTGGAAGTGCTTCGCTAACTGTTACCACAGAATAGCCAGCAGTAGTTTTGACAGACTGCATGTACTGTAAACATAATCCACCCCTCTTACTGATCTTCCTCTTCCTCTCAGTTTAGTTTGGGGAGCAAAGAGGACTTGGAGAAACCCCTTCCACTCAGTACCTTTCACACGAAAAGTGAAGAACATTTGTTATCGAGAAAAACTGCACCCAGTCTGATAAAGGAGGCGGTTTATAACGGGGCAATTGCTGTTCTTGAACAGAATGAGAAGCTGGCTTGTGAGGAATCCGATTGCAGCAGGTAGGCTACATCTCACGTTGTTCTACTTGGTTGTGACTCCTCTCTGCTGTGTGGGGTTTCAAATCTAAGTGATGCATGTACAGGATGAAGGAGGATTTGGAACATTGTGGAATATTATAATTCCAATATTTTATTATTAACCCTCTGATTTATTTTTTAACATTTATTCACAGCTGAATGTTCCATTGCAATATCTTTAAAGCAAATATATGTCATTTCCCAGGACTACTTTATTTTGTCATGATTCTAAACCGATGTGGCAGCTCTGTCAGTAAGGAACCAAACACAGTACCATGTTTTTAATTGAGCACCAAGTCACATTCTCAGACAAGTGTAATCTTTATGTTTACCTTACATTTACTTGGTAGAATACAACATGTTGCTTCCAAGTGTTTCAGAGACTCTCTTTCTCACACTTTACCAGATAAAGGCTCATAGGTCAGCAGCTAGCTCGCTAAAACACAACAGCTCAGCAACGACCTAGCTGTATCTCAAAAGCTAGTTAGTTATGAACCAGTATACCAAGCTATCAGTAATGACTGTAAACATATACTGTATTAGGAGACCATTCTGGCCAGCAAGCATGCATGGCCATCACAATATGAATTATTTGGTGGTGCTCTGCATTATGTATGGAGCTTGTTTCTGGGAGAGCAGGGCTCCATGGTGATTCAGGTATTTGTCTTTGTTAATGCCTGGATGGGGAAGAAGTGCAGAAACACCATCATGCCTATGGCACACGTTACTGTGTTGCTGTGTCAGAGCGAACGCAGCTAAGGATGATTCACAGGTTTGGTGAGCGGATCACGCCTGTCGCTGTGTTGTGAAGCCCTCTGTTGATGAAGTGATGGCAGTGCAACCAAGCAGCACATTTTAATTTTGTTTGAAAAATGGATCTTATATCTGAACATTTAACATTTGAACAGCTTTAACATTTCCACACATTGTGTGACATAATATTTCATCTTGGAAACGTGACTTTTTTTCACCAATTTCTATTTGCTCCTTGTCAGTGTTCCCCCGCAATCAAATTCCTCAAATTCAACTATGGCCCACAGCTGGTTCCGCAGGAAGCCTGTCCACCATCGCCTGGCGGGCAGCCAGCGGAGCAACTATGACCTGCGGGAGCGCATCTGCATCGGCAGCATGACTGCTCTAGAGTCCGCCATCTACCAGCAGGTGCCAACTGATGAAGCTGAGGCTCAGATGTTGGCTAGTGCTGATCTGGATGACATGAAAAGTAAGAAAGATACTGTATAATACAGTAATGTAATCTCAGGTGAGGTTGCACCTCTCCTAGGGTGCTGACTGAAACCTTTGGGTGACAGTGGCTCTGATTGTGTTTGTTGACCTAATATAACATGAGCATCGATATACAATCCAAAATGATATCGCTTGTTTCTTTAACTCTCTTTACCAACAAATACGTATTATCCTGATAATGCAGTGTGACACTGTGTTCATACTAGCCAGCTTCTGTTTGTAAGGCAGAGACAGCTTTGCCCCAACCAGTTAGAAGCAAGTAACGTACAACATTAATGTACAACTGACAAGGAAGCTGCAGTAACGGCTGATAAAACAATTCAAATAAATAGGTCAACTTCAGAGTTGTTATATCTGTAAAACTGTGAGAACATATCCACACCTGTTGCCATAGTTGTCATTATTCTGTTGTACAGGAAAGCAATAGCACATTTTTAATCAAGCCCACATAGTTGATATTTGTTTGGCTGCGTTTCCAACCAAGGAGCCAACCATGTATTAACACATCTAGACCCTCTGCTGACCCTTGCTGTCTTTATATAAACACTTCTGATTAGCACATACAGTATATCTAGCTACATGGCTTAACCAGTGTTTGGTTTTAGCTGTGACAGGTAGAGATTCTTCTTGGCTTAACCAGTGTTTGGTTTTAGCTGTAACAGGTAGAGATTCTTCCTTAGCATGTACTAAAAGCACTGTTGCCATGGTTTCCTGAAGTTTAATATACAGCGCAATGTGTACTGAGGTACTGTATGTTATTTGTGTCTCATTATACAATTTAAACACATCTGCTAGATGATTAGAAATAGAGATACAACCCCAAATCAGAAAAAGTTAGCATGGTATGGAAAATCACAATTAAAACTGAAAGTAGTGATGTGTAAATCATCGGTGTCCTGTATCACACTTATCACCTTATCCTTATCACACAATACCACAGCGCAGTATGTGATGTGATACCTCATCAATTGTATTTTGTTCAAAATAAACACTCTCTTCCATTCTGATGCCTGAAACACATTGCAACAAAAGTTGGGACAGTGAAGCGTTTACCACAATGTGATGTTGCCGTTCCTTTTCACAACACTTCACAGACATTTAGAGACTGAGGACACCAAGTGATGAAATGTGTGAGTAGGTGGACATCTAAAGTAAAATGCAGCCACCTACAGTAAAAAGAATCAGTGTACAACATTAATATTATACAGTATTACGATGTAGTTGATAATGTGTCCGAGTCACTTTTGAGGTCGATTGTATTGGATTGCATTATATTTAGAGGTGTGTTTTAGTGTGTTGCCCTGTCGTCCATGTATAGAAAGGAAGGCTGTCTCTAATGTGGACAAAACAACAAATTAACTTCAGTATAATGCAGATACTAATATAACATGTAAGGGTGTCACCATAAGGAAGCAGTTGGACTGTAAAGAAAATTGGCTAATAACCCTATGAAAACAAAAACGTTGTTGAAGGGATCTGTGTTAGTTTCATGGTAGTTCAGTGGACTAAAACACTACTGTACACTACCTTTTTTAAAAGATTTTGTTTGTTTGTGAGAAATAATGGCTTTGCAGTAGAGTTCCTTTGTTAAATGCAACTTCTGAGATGATTCGGTTTTACTTTTCACTCATGCTGCTGCAGTGTTGTGGAGACTTATTTGAGGTGTTTTCAGCCAGTAGTGGAGCTCTACCAGTTCTCAACCAGGCCTGCATGAGAGCACCTAATGTAGCTGCTAGGATAATTATGGTTGGGGATAATTAGGTTAGAAGGACATTACACAAGTGATTGAGCAAAGACAAATTCTAGCGAGATTAAAATGCCAGAAGAATCCTTTGCTATGTGTTGGCTTGACTGTGTGACTCAGTGTTGACAACAGATCAAACTGAGAGACAAACAAATACATAAATAAGGTCTAAACATAAATGGACATGACCTCAGACTCCTGGCTCCGTGCACCTTCCTTCTCAACCAGCACTACAGGACAAATATTGATCTTGTACCTGACAGAGAGCTGGGCATCATTCTCTTGACTTTTGTGTTGTGGAAGTCAGAAAGGCATCTGCTACTTTTCTTAATTATAAGCCTGTTTGACTATTGTATAAATAACATGTTAAGATCTCATTTAGCATACAAAGTGCATTTTAAGTGGCTAAATGTGTATGTTTTGGTCTGATGTTTTCACCTGCACTTTGGTCATAAAGCTGAATTAATCATTTGTGGATATGGTTGAGCGCCCTCTACTGGCAATACTACTACACAGTTGTCTGAACTTCCTTCTTAACACATCACTGCTTTAAAGAACTTTCCTAATAGATATTGTAAATGTTGCAACTGAAACATTTCAGCTTTTATTCATAATTTCACCCAATGACTATAACAAGGCTACAGACTTTTTCCAGTGGTTGTTTTTTTTATTAATCGGTTTTAATATCAGTTTCCTTGACAACAGCTGCTTGCAACCCTTAAAAAAATCATTTAATTTAAGAACTCTTACTTACAAACACGACTTTAAAATGTTGCTTATGTTTTTTGGTGCACATTGTATATTATCTGTTACTTTTGTTCTTTGTTGTCAGTACACAGCACAACTGTGGTAATATCAGAACCATACAGATCCAACATAGAACCAACAAGACTAGAAACCAACCAGGGCATTTGATTGCTGTTCATACAGCCTTGTTTTTCCTTTGGCAATCTTATTTCACCAATATGTCTTTAAATGTCAAATTGTCATTTTTTAAAATCCTTCAGCTACTCAGTGGGTCAGGTAATTATTGATAAATGTATTTGTGAAATACTGATGAACTTAAACAGTATAGTGTAACATTTACTGACCGTCTTGCAGCTCTGATGCTGACCATGGACAGGTTCACGGCTGCCTATGGCGTAGCTCCACTATGGACATCCCACACATTTTATCTCATGAAGCCAAACCACGCAGTTGCTGGCTCCCACATACTCTGTTAGAAATAAGCTTCCAACAAAGTAGCATCATGGATGGAAGACAGACAAAATAACAGGATGTGCAGTACTTATAACTTATGTAAATAGTTTTTTTTATTTTTTACTATATGCATTCAGTTGTCAGCTATTGTAAGATATTAGACATTAAATGCACCACAATAATGTATCACCACTGATTGTTAATAGCAGCACCATTAATGCAGTAAATGTTAAATACACTTAGTAGATGTCCTCATCTCCTCCTCTAAAACCAGACTCTTCACATTAGTTCCTGTTGTTAGCAGACATTATCGTGCAGTACTAAATGGCTGCCTGAAGGATCATACTATTACAAGCCAGAGTTAATCTGACAAGGGAATAAATAGAGTTAAATGTCCAGGTCAAACAGAAGGGAAAAAGGAAGAACGATATAGAAAAAGAGTAAAAGCAGCAAAGTAGCTAGAGATACGAAGGTGAAAACTCTATTCCGGCATCCAGGGGCATTAATTAGCAAAGGCTGCAGTCGATTCCCCTTCACCAATAACCCTGCCCCTGGCCTTTCCTGCATCACCAGAGCAGAGTAATCATTGACTGTTTAGGACCCATCTTGACAGAGACAATAGGTCAGCTAGAGTCACTTAAAACCAGCTATTGGATTTGTATGGTTGCCACTGACAGGCTGTGTATAGCAACACTACCACTGCACTGTAGGTCTCTCTGTTCCATTCTGGTTCAGTTCTACTTTATCTGTGCTCTTAGTAACATGAATTAAGGTTTTAGTCTTTATCATAAACTATGGATGGGAGATTATTGGGTCACCTGTTTGAACATTTAAAGTTTTTTCAAAATGCATAAGAGGCTTAATGTTATTTCATGTTATTGCTTGAACCTTAAAGAGGTTAATGTTTTGACTGGTGGCCAGTTTGGTTGGCTGAAAAGATAAGTTCCTGTCATAGCCTGCTCTCCTGTAATGTGTGTTCGGTTTTTCTTACCATTTTTAATATTTTCATTATATCAAATCCAGTGTTTGATGCTATTACCTGTATGTTCAGCATTTATTCTACTATGGACATTAAAATGACTTACAATCATTAATTACCTCACTAGCTTGCATTAGCTCCTTTTACAATGTCCATTGATGCAAACATTTTCTGAGTTTTCTGCCTCACTGTTCTGTGTAAAAGATGGTCCTGGAATGTGGAGTTGAATTCACCCTCCAAAATGCTGCAATGACATGTAGTATTTTTGCCGAGACGGGTTTTTGGCATTAATGGAGCCATCACAGAAGTGTAAGTTACCTTTGCCAAGGCACTGACGCAACCCCAGACCATGACAGACAAATGATAAACATCACCACCTCAACAGAAGGAGATGAATTCCATGAAGGTGCGAGTTGAGAGGCTGTGTCTAGTTCACACATGGTGATGACATAGACGTCTTTTGCATGTCTATAAGCTGTCATAAAGACAGGACAGGATAATACTTTATGTTACTTTATAGACTGAAAAGAATTACAAGTCAGAAAAATGAAAATGCTGCATGCTTTCTTACAAATATTAGTGCTGTACACACACATGTAGACCCCACACACTAGTTGTTTCCATAACTTCAGGGGACATTACATTGACATACATTAATTTCCTGGAGACTTGCCTTAACCTAACCTTAAAGCAAGCCATCATTCTAAGATGTAATGATTTACTTTGAGGCCTTTTTAACTCGATTTATGTCCATTTAAGGACATCAAGTCCCCACAATGTGACCGTGTAAACAGATTTACATCCCCACAACATGAGTAATGCCAGGTCATGTACACACAAACACTCACTGGCAATGTTTCCCTACCTTAACCCTCACAACTAAAGGCCTAACCCCACCCTTTACCTTACCCTAACACCAAACCTAATCCTGACCTTAACCTTAAAACCAAATCTTAACCTTCAAAAAGCTCTTGCGTTGTGTGGACCAGCTAAAATACCCCCACAACACCAAAGTGTCCTTTACAGTGGCATCAAAAAACAAATTGGTCCACACAATGTGATAAATACATGTACATACAATATGCAATATGCATACGAATAAAGACAGTGTGACACACGTGGACACACATACAGTATTCAGGCAACATTTTAGAGCGGGTCATGTTGAGATGGCACTGGTGCACCGCTTGTAGACCAGTCAGACCACAACATCTCATGGGACGCATGGTTTCCATGGAGATGCAGGGACAGGAATAATGCAGTTTGCTCTAAGAATTAGCACCATGGTATCTCACTAAACAGGGTGCTAGAGCTGATCCTAGGTGCTGTTCTATTATTCTCTTTAAGTTTGACTTTGCCTCAGTTTCCAGTGTATGTGTCTTTATGTCTCTGTGGTTTATATGTATGCGTTTTCAGTCTAATGAAATTCCAGGGCAGACACCAGCTTTTGAAATTTGACTTCTACCTTTCTACACATCACATGGTTGGACAGTGATGGCAGCGTTATGGAAATGAAAGGCATCAATTCTTCTGCTCTGATCTATTTTATCTTAGTTTCCTAACAGCAACAGGGATCAATGGGCTGTGGACATCATTAAAAAGGGTGGTACTCCCATTCAGCTGACAGGCTGTCCCTCATCAGTATTTGCTATTGGACTCGCAGCTAAAGCAAGTGTTTATATTTCTGATCATGGATCCAGCAGGTTTCTACCTGAGGATGTACTGTAACTTCAGCTTACCTCAGATTTATATTGTTTGACTGGAAGGTGAATATTTTTATTGATGAGTTTCCTGAAATTACTTTTTTTTTTGATTGTTGCTGATTTTTGCTCATAGAATATTGGACTCCTGGACCACAAGCTTTTTTTCTTGGTTGCCTGGGCACCACTTAGGAGGCAGACTGGTGGACCAAGGCTCTTCAGAACAGCAACTCAGGGAGTGAAACGGCATTCAGGCTTTGAAAGCCCTGGATGAGCAGTGTGTCCACTTGGATAGGAGAAGGTACAGACCGTAGAGATGACAGAAATTGAGGAACAGGAGAACAAGGGGCACGGGACCTCTGACCACTGTGGACCAGAACATCGGTGCAGTGTCCAAAAAGGCTTTGGCGCCCCAAAGCATCACCAACATGAGCACCACAACTCTTTGTCCACTGTTGATGGCTTTGAGGACTTTGAAGAGTTTGTTTTGGACTTTGATGATTATGACTTGCTTGAGTCAATCCACACCCAGCTGGGGTCACCACTGGAGCCTATTCGTAAGTTGAATGGACTGTAGCTGTGTTTCAGTGTCACTTCAGCTCTACCCTTGAGGAGTAGCAATAGTGAAAGTCGCATCAAACTTCCAAGGTTCTGATACAATTATATCACTATGGGAAATCCATATAGATGAGTTCTTTATTCTATTTTTACATGGATAATCAGTAGATGGTTGTTAACTTGGTTCAGTTGTTCATGTACTCCACTGGTTGCTTAATTAATTGCAATAGGAATCACATTCATGGTCACAAACAGAACAACATAGTCCACAGTATTGAGCGCACTGACATGATGCTCAACTGCTTCTGTTTTCTGCTCATGCTTGGGGCTCAGCCACATCTAGAGTTGAAAACATTTCACTGACAAACAGTCTGTAATTCTGCTCTTTTTTATCCCTGTGTGGACCTAGAAACAGGGCACATCAGTCCTGTGATGAAGCCAAGTACATGACATGGAAAAGAAATGAAAGTGAGGTCTACATTTACAAGTACTGATTTATTTGGGATTCAGTTGTAGCTGCTAGCAGCTGGGTTAATATGGACCCACTTTAGGCACAGGTAGGTCCTGCATGTACAGTATAAAAGGTGCAATGAGATTCATAATGTGACTCCTGCATCTTTTAATTAAAATGTATGAAATTATGGTTGGTTTTCAAATCTCATAGCAAACTAACATCATAAACTGATTGATGATGATTTATTATCTCAGTCTTGAGCAGCAGAGACCTCTCTCTGCCAAACAACATTAATATAGATTTAAACAGGGCACTGAGTTTGTGTCAGCATGTCTTTTACTGAAGTGAAGAGGAGGACCAAAACAGTCCTTTTTACTTAAAGTTACTTGCTTTGTCGTTGCCCTGAACACGACATGACTCTATTTGAACTTAAAGCCACCACCTCTCTAACAGTTTCCCATGGCATACATAGATTCTCTCTCACCCAAGGAGCTTTTACCTTCTGCTACTGAATGTTGTTCTGTTTACACACATTTAAATCTGACTTCTGATTTTGAAGCATGGAGCACATTTTCTGACTTAGGAAGGATGTTTGATTTGTTCACAGTCCTAAAAAAGAGCATTTCAGGCTAGTTAGACTGGTTTATGATCCACTCTTCCTAAAGTCTAGACTTCATGATTTAGCAGTGTTGGCCTTTTACTTCGGGTCTTAAAATACTTGTGGCTGTTCAGGTCACAGATTTGAGGACAACCCTGGGTTGAGACGCCACCTGGTGAAGAAGTCGTCCCGATGTCAGATGAACTGGACCAGCAACAGTTCCACACCACTCTCCAGCCTGAAGAAGAAGAGAGCTGCAGATAAGAAAACTCATGAGGTTTGCAGTACACCAGCAGCAATGCTTTTTGCCAAACTACCTTAACCTGCACAGTGGCAAATGCACTTGTTTGGTCTTCACCAGGTCCTCAGGGGAAATATCTGTCTTTTTAACTGGTAAACCAATAAGCTGATACAGCCTACTGCAGACTAAAGCACACTGCAAAACTGAGAGGAACTGAATAGTCAGACATGGTTTTCATCACAAATGACCTCTCTCAATTACACATAGTCATTTGATCCAGTATTAATTTTAAATTATTGGGCTTTAATGTAGCTCCAAAGCTTGTGTCATCCTAGCTTAAGCACATTCTTCTTCATCAACTTATTGGCTAGTCACCAGATCTGGCAAACCTGTAAACTTTCTCCTAATGTTGTTCCTCAGTTTGGCAGCAAACATGGCACAAAAACACTGTCAGTTTTGTTTCTCTGAGAAGATTTTGTAAAATGTCATTCTTTGTTGAAGTGTAACAGAAAATGCCTCCAGTCTATTTGTTTACTTTTAATCCAAACACATGTTGTGACTGTGTTATTGGTTTAGCTGCTTTTCATTGTTTTCTCCTGCAGGTATAATTTATTATAAAAAAAAAGAGGGTAAACAAACTCCATTCAAGATAAGAACTGGCAAAATCAAGGCAGATTGTTCACTATTAGTGTGTTAGCAGAACCTTGATGATGCAGTATTAATGTCTTTTTCCCCACTGAGTAACATTATAATATCACTGCTCTTCAGTTGAACATATTCCAAAAGTCATCTCTGGCAGTAATAAATGGAGTGCAAAGCAGTGTATCTTGTGTTTTAACGCACGCATGTGCACTCTCCCTCATCTTCAGTTGTTTGTTGAGCTGAACGAGCTGATTGTGGAGAAGGACCATGAAATGCACTGGAAGGAGCGGGCTCGCTGGATCAAGTTTGAGGAGGATGTGGAAGAGGAGACAGACCGCTGGGGCAAACCTCATGTGGCCTCGCTCTCCTTCCGCAGCTTGCTGGAGCTTCGTCGCACCATCACACACGGTACCAAGCACCAATCATTGCTTATGTTCCCTGGGCATCTCAAATGAAATCCACAAAGAAAAACACGATGTAAAGAAAAAAAGCTAAACTCTTCTTTGTGGGGCAAAGCTAGATGTTTTTATTTTGGCTTTATGTACAGTAGACACCACCAAGTGTGCTCCCTGTCTTCCTTTACCTTCCTTCACTAGGTGCCATCCTTCTGGACCTCGAGCAGACCTCTCTGCCTAACATTGCTCATCTGGTGGTAGAGACAATGATCATCTCTGATCAGATCAGAGCTGAGGACAGAGCCAATGTTCTACGGGCTCTGCTTCTTAAGCACAGGTCAGTACCCACTTAAAGACTAATGTTTTTAACCAAAAGATTTTTTAGGAACAGGTGGAAAGCAGTGTTTCGTGTCCTTGCATGCCTAAGATGATCAGGTTTGAAGAGACAGGCCCCTTTTACTCTTAGTTTACAAGTACAACATTATGGCTAAAATGAAATCATGTACAGTACCTGATGCCCTTTTACCAAGTCATTTAAACTTAGGAAGGCCTAACTTCATTCTTGGTTTCAGTAAACTGCATATTAACAGTTTTCATAATTTCTGTTTTAAAGCCAGTCAGTCTTAGATAAAACTGATGTGGCTATATTTTATGTGACCTAATTGTTTTCCAGGACTACAGTAATAGCATTTGAGTGTGTGTTCTAGCACTTACAGAGGACGAGTCACTGCCTGGAATTGTGTGAAATAATTTTAAACAATTAATATGCAGCATTACATTTGATTACATACCAATCCTGGCAGCAGGCTTTGTGCTGTTTGCTAGAAGCCCTGTTTTATAGGCAGAGTGGACCATTACTAATAGCAGAAATCTTAATTTTAATTCTGAGAATATATTAATAATTCACTCATTCATGTAAAACTATGGCAGTTCTTGCCATTAGATTGTAAACATTTCATTTTCATTTAACTTTTTTGTAGTCGAGGTTGTTGAAAAAGTGCCTAACTCAGGGGAACCGAGCAGGGGATTTCCAGAAGGGCCATTTAACAAGACTTGGCTCATCATCCGATGTACTTTTCTGTGGTTGACTTAATTACAAATGTCAAGACTGTACTGTAGCTGCACTGGGTCTTAAAGCCTAGATCTTCAGATTAAAAGTTTGATACTTTATTGTATGAGCTGTCCTGACCCTTTGAACTGTGTTAAAATCTTTACTGTCTGTTCTGTGTCAGACTTACTTCTGTTTTATACACAAAAGAGCGGGTGTTCCAATCTGATGCTAATTACAACACACTGTGAATGGAAAGGATACTGTTATTGTAAAAGTATGTGAACTTACTAGCTTGAAACCATATTCTACTTTTCATAAATCCAGGTTCATTATATGTCAGAAATGTTTGGTTTGAGATGAGACAGACTTAAAACCCAGGATTTAAAATGAAAGCAGAATGACTAAACATCATGCTATTTGTGTATCTTTGTTCCAAAGTTTTACTTCTTGCCAATGTCCTGTTATTTTAGCCTCAGTTTTTGGTGCTGGTTTCTGCATTTGCAGCCAGCCAGTCAACCACCATTGGTATCAAGGTCAATAGACATTTGGAGACGGGATGGAACATGGAAAACTACAACTTGCTTTCAGCTATCAGGATCTACTCTAAATTCAAAAAAGGCATTAGTGACCATGACTCGCGGTCCTGGAAACTTTAAAGATACAAATCCTCCCATCCCATTTTCTGTACAAGCGCTCAGAAGACACCAGATTCTGTGCTCTACTAAATATATGAAATAAATACCATGTTGATCTATGTGACATGACACCTCCTTGTTCTCGCTCAAATGTTTCCCATTTATCGATTGGCACATGAATTGAGTGCACTGTGCAAAGAGCATTATAGATTTTTCAGAATTATGTCATTTAAACCAAAAAATAAACAAACAAGGGAACTGATATTTATCGCATGGCTGTAGACGCTTCTTCAAATTTTCTTTTTTCCTCCACACAGCCATCCGAGTGATTTCAAACACCGTTTTCACCAACACCAATCATCCAGCAGTCTTCAAGGCAGCTTCAGTCACAACCATGTCCAGGACACCAATCTGCCACCAGTGGCTGAGGAGCTGGATGAACATCTGGATAACAAAGGGCCGCTATACGACCCCAAACAAGATGTGTTTGTCAGTTTGTTTGTAAGTTATTTTCTCTTTCTTTCTCTTTTGTTTTTACTTTTTTTGTTATTAACCATAAATAACTCCTTGCCTCTTATGATTCATGCTTTCTTTATTTTTTTGTGTCAATATGAAAGGCTGGTGACAGCGATCCAAGACATATTAAATCTAGGTGATGAAAGACTATGATGTAATTAGGCAGTCAGTGCAAGTTACCAAAGCCAAAGTTAATGATTAACTAGTTTTGACAAGAACCCACTTTGGTAATTCAACACATCTATCTAAATGAACAGAGATAAAAGCAACACAGAGCTGTCTTGTCCTAGTTTATGGTTTGCATCATTTGCGTGATTGCTCTGAAGTTCTGATGTGAGGCCTGTGGCGCTCGCAGTGTCTTTGAAACACCCCTCCATGAGGTCAGATGCCCCTCCATGAGATAGTTCTTGAAGTCAGACAAAGCAAGTCTCCCTGGGACACATGTTGTATTATGTTCTTAGTAAGCTTACAGGTGCTTCTAGTTAAAGCTTATTGATGCATTTACTGTGAAAACTTAATGTTCCCCACGGTTTCCAAAGCTGGCAAATCTAAAACAGCCTATTTAAAAATAACTCTCCTCAGACATAAAGAAATGGTTGTGTAGTTGTGTGGTGTAAAATGAATCACAATAGAACATTACTGTTCATACATACATTGCTATAATGCTTGTACTGGTCTTCTTCCAAGAAATCACTCCACCCTCTGCCCGAGAGCGCTCCAGCTACAGCCAGGTCATTTAAACTCCTCGCCAAAATCCCCCAAGGTGCTGAAGCTGCCGTCATTTTAGTTGGTAAGCTCATGCCATTAGTTTTTGTCTCAGAAATGAAACAATTAAATGACATAAGATGCCATAATCATTTCACACTCACTACTAATGGTACCTGCTGTAATTACTTATATTCTGATCAGCTTCTGCTGTAGGATGTCAACACTTGTGTTGTGTCCCCCGAGAACATGGTCCAATGTAACTGCAAAGCTCCAGGATGTCTTGATTTGGTATTAAAAAAAATGTATTAAAGATGTTAAACAGCAGCTGATTTACTGCTGTTATGATCCTTTAGCATGATACATTTTCTGTTGCTAAAGTGTAATTAAAGCCTATATCCCTAATAACTAACTAATGTAACTTGTGGGTTTTGTCTTCTTCTCTTCCTGTCAGGTGGTGTTGAGTTCCTGGAGCAGCCAGCCATGGCCTTTGTTAGGCTGAACGAGGCTGTGCTTCTGGAGTCAGTGCTGGAGGTTCCTGTCCCAGTTCGCTTTATTTTCATCCTACTTGGTCCCAGTCAGTCAAACATGGACTATCATGAGATTGGACGCTCCTTCTCCACTCTCATGTCCGACAAGGTGGATATAAAGCTCTGAACAGTGGAAATGAACACAGTGGAAATATGACATCATAAAACCAAACAAAATACTAGAACTCTTCCTCAAAGTGACAAACTAAATAGCCACATGGATATTGTAGTGTTAATGAAAATTAAAATAATAACATCCAGTTGTATTTTGTTGTAGAACTTCCATGAGGTGGCCTACTTTGCTGATGACAGACAGGACCTCCTAAATGGTATCAATGAGTTCTTGGACTGCAGCATTGTCATTCCACCCTCAGACGTAGAGGGCAAAGATCTCCTGAAGACTGTGGCTGACTTCCAGAAGCAGATGCTGCGGAAGAGGAAGGAAAGAGAGTTTAAAAAGAACCATTCCTCATCTGGAGTGATGCAGGAAAACAAAGGTGCTTAGTCAAGTCCTTAAAGTCAATTTGTCACATTACATCTTTAATTATAGTACTAGGCTTGAGGGAGGCACACCAACATTAGTCCAGCAATGGAATCTGCGTTTCCATTGCTGGACCATTCCCCAAAAATGTCTGTGAAGAGTATTTAAGCTACTTAGCCAAAAAAAGAAACTCTACTGGGACTTAATGTATAGTAGATTGACAAATTACACAATACCATTAGTAAACAAAACGCTGGTACAAGAAGGAATGTTTGGAATATACTGTATATTCAGAGCTGTAATCGTTAGTTGATTAATATAAAGCCATTATTCTAGATGTTTTCTTCTATTTAAAAAATTAGGAAGAGATATATAATCAAAAGACCAAAGTTGGCAATATGCAATTTTAAAAACTTTAAAAAATCTATCCCCCCAAGAGGTGACTCCAGAGGAGGAAGAGGAGGAGGAAGACCAGGAGGTGGACCCATTAAAGCGCTCAGGGTTCCCATTCGGAGGCCTGATCCACGACATCCGTCGGCGCTACCCACACTATGTCAGTGACTTAAAGGACGCTCTGGACACGCAGTGTGTTGCTGCCGTCATCTTCATCTACTTTGCTGCATTGTCGCCTACTATAACCTTTGGAGGCCTGCTGGGTAAACTGACACCAGAAGAAACATGGAGACAGTTAAATCTCATGTCATTTTGATCATTGTGTGTTCTAACAATGTTTTTCATGTGTTTTTGCATTCAGGAGAGAAAACAGAGGGCATGATGGGAGTGACTGAGCTTATAGTTTCGACTGCAACCCTTGGAGTCCTATTCTCACTGTTTGCTGGTCAGCCCCTTCTTATAATTGGCTTCTCAGGACCCTTACTGGTGTTTGAAGAAGCCTTCTACAAGGTACTTAAGCTGAAAACACAGAAATGACATGGTTTTATGTTATACAGAATAGCAGCCACACAGTAGTATCACATACTCTTGTTTTTGTGTTACGTAGTTGCTATATTGTTTCCCCTGAACATGGAACTAATGTGCCTGTGTCCTTTCACTCAGTTCTGTCAGGCCCACAATTTTGAGTACCTGACTGGTCGCGTGTGGATCGGTTTCTGGCTCATCTTCATTGTCGTGCTGATTGTGGCAGCAGAGGGCAGCTTTCTTGTTCGCTACATCTCACCATTTACCCAGGAGATTTTTGCTTTCCTCATCTCGCTCATATTCATCTATGAGACCTTCTCCAAACTCATCAGGGTCAGTACTTCAGATACCACCCAGCACACTGAGCTCTACCAGAGTTTGAACAGTAACAGGCACCTTTATTGCATGCTTCCTTCATTTTCTTTATATCTGTAACTAGGCACTACAACCAGTCAACAAAGGATAATTTGAGGTTCTTTCTTGTTTCCAGGTGTTCAAAGAACATCCACTGTTGGCAGTATACCCCAGTGACTCCACTTCAGCTTCTTGGCTTCAAAATGTTGATGACCCAATCATAAACCAGCCCAACACTGCTCTTCTGTCTCTGGTCCTGATGATGGGCACGTTCTTTGTTGCATTCTTTCTCAGGAAGTTCCGAAACAGTCGATTTCTAGGTGGCAAGGTAAACTGAGCTGTGAATGTCCTTTTTCTCATGTACATTTCATGGTATCTTGGGGCACTTTTGTGAATCCTTAAAACCTAACAGGCTTGTTGAAGGCATTTCATTCCTCATAAAACGCAGAGATTTTTTTTTCCATAATTTTTCTGGCACTTTGCAAATCTTCTTTATACTCATCTTCTATATACTGAGCTGTGGAAGAGTGTAATCTACTGATGTACTGCAGGAACAGAGTCATGTCATCATGCTCACGTACACATTAGTAATATAGGGTAAAAACATGGCTCTACTACCTGCGGTGAAAATCCTCCAGGCTGTCAATGACAGTTCAGGAAGTCCTCCAAAGCAGTGGATGTTCCCCTTTAAACTGAATTTGAAGATGACTTGTTTTCATTTGTATCTGGTTAAACTCTGACTTGCAGTGAAGTAAGTTGTTCATATCTTTTTGTGTTAAGAGCTGTGATGTACTTGTACTTGATGTAATGTTTAGTTTTCAATAATGTCCACAGGTCAGAAGAATCATTGGTGACTTTGGCATCCCTATCTCAATTTTGGTTTCAGTACTGGTGGATTACTCTATTACTGACACATACACACAGGTAACTTCTCCGTCACTTGAGTTGCATTTTATTACAGTTCTAATAAATCAGTGGCTTCTCTCAGTTTGGTACACTTTTATCTACTTTTAGAAACTCAATGTGCCGTCGGGCTTTTCAGTCACATCCCCTGACAAGAGAGGTTGGTTCATCAGTCCCTTTGGTGACAAGCAGCCCTTTCCCCCCTGGATGATGGGAGCATCTATTGTACCTGCCCTTCTTGTTTTCATCCTCATTTTCATGGAAACTCAGATCACTTCGTACGTACAGTATGACTGTCCACAGTGACGATGCTCTCATTATCCCATCTTTTAATCCTTTTCCGGTTTTTCATCCTTTCTCAGACTTATAGTCAGTAAGAAGGAGCGTCACCTGGTTAAAGGATCAGGCTTCCACCTGGATCTCCTGCTCATTGTGATCCTGGGTGCCATCTGCCCCCTCTTTGGCCTGCCGTGGCTCACCGCTGCCACTGTCCGCTCCGTCACTCATGTCAATGCACTCACAGTCATGAGCAAGGCCACGGCACCTGGCGAAAAGCCCATGATCCAGGAGGTGAAAGAGCAGAGGCTGACTGGGCTTCTTGTGGCTGTGCTTGTTGGTAAGAGGAGAGGGACGGGTGAAAGTGTGTTTCTAGATATGCCAAAAATGTGCATGTAAGGCTTTAGAGGGTGGGGTCACTTTTACATAATATAAAGCACTTTCAAAAAGAAAGTTACAAAGGACTTTACATGAAAGAAAATCCAAATAAAGGCATAACAATCTCATTTAAACCCAGGCCACTAGAAGCCCAGATAAAGGAAAAATACCAGACAATAAAATATTATAAGATAAAATGAGATGAAAAAGATAAAACATATTTAAAATCAGGGTAAAACAATTGTGATTGCAACAGTTTTTTGGGGGGAAAGGTGTTATATGTTATTCTGTAGTTAGTAGTATTCTGTACTAGGCACCTTAACTATTCAAGGAATATGTTAGAATGAATAGCATTTGTATTACATTTGTATATATTATAGGTCTATACTGTGCTTGTAGGTTTAGATTCATTTTTAAACTCTAAGTCATGCACTAAGGACCCTTTTACAGGGTTCTTGTTTTAAAACATTAGGAAAAAACAGTAAGAAGTCGGATGAAGACAGAACCAGCCAACTCTCAGTTTTAGCATTAGCATCAGTTTAGGTTAGCTACAGCTGATACCAGTGACGGTGACTGAAATGAGCTAAATGACAGAAGAATCTCAACTGACCAGTTTCAGAACAATTATTCTAGTTTGCTTTGTTGCTCTGTTTATACTTTTCTACAACATGAATTCATGAATTACAGGAGTTTCCAGGCATGTAAAGAATAGCCATTCTTCAGCTCCATGTCTTCACATGAAGTATGAATCAGCCCATGCAACAGATTAAACTCATTTTACAGTCTGTTTACAAACTATATTTGAAATGAACAGAAACTGTATTTATTTATTTACTTCAAATGTAACGACTAGCATTGCAACATAGTTTCTACCCACTAAGTGCTGTTTTGCCAACACAATATCTTGTTTCTATTAAATTTCCCAAAGTATAGCTTTATTCAATTTGGCTATACAACCATAATATGTCATCATGATTGTTGAGTTTTCATTTGATGACTATGCTATTTGGATTGGGAGTGAGTCTTCTCTGGATCAGCCCTAGTTAGCATTTCAACCAATGCAGCTGAACACTGAATATGTTTCAAATCAACAGCGCTGTCAGTATATTTCTCATGAGGAGTGTTCCTTTGTTGGATGAATAATTATCTGTCTTGCAAATTATTGGGCATGTATGTTTTTCAGAAACAGTGATATCATTTGAAAACCTCCCCTTTCACCCCTCTCTATGAATCAGGGATGTCCATAGTGATGACAGATGTCCTCCGCCTCATCCCTCTGGCTGTGCTCTTTGGTATCTTCTTGTACATGGGGGTCACCTCTCTGACAGGCATCCAGCTGTACGAACGCATCACACTTATGGTCACGCCTGCCAAACATCACCCTGACCACATCTACATCAGCAAGGTAACTCAAACAATAAGAAAGTTTAGATGGGCTTGGCTTCTATTATTAGTGGTAAGATAGAGAAACCAAACCCAGCAGAGTGGTACCGGGAGCAGAGTCCTGGCATCCAGAAACAAAATTGACTTAAACCAGTCAGTAAGAAATACAGTAACCGGGAGGCTGGGATGTTGAGGAGGCAAAGACATAAGCACAGGACACAACAGAAACCTGAATAACTATGGACTCATATAAAATCATCTACACCCACACCGGTATTCTGATTTTTAGTTAAGTCTGGTTTTGATTGTAGTAGAAATACTTACTCCTGTTTGGAAAACCAGGATTTTGAATGTGCAGTGTGTGCAACAGGATACCTTAAAACCACACAGAATATACTTTATATGGAAGGAGGGCAATATTAAGCTGAGGTGGAGGGTAAACAAAGAGACATGAGCAACTAATTCTGAAAAGAACCAAAAGTTTGGGGTTACTGTAATACAAATAAAATACAACAGGTTGCTGGAAGTATTCCAGTTGACCAACATAAGAACAATAATAATAATAATAATAATAATAATAATGCCTTTTTTAGAGGCACAGCCGTTTTCTGTCCAAATGCCCACTGAAAACAACCCCTGCATGTTGTCATGTAGTACATTAAAGTAGGAAAGGCATAAAACTACCAAGCTGTTGAGAGTAAACGAAAGAGAGAGAGGGAGAGAAACAGGGCCAGCTCTCCCCCATTGCTGATGCAAGCCATCCGCCAGTCACAGCCAGCACAGCTTCTCAACCACTGATCACGTTGACCTACAGACCAAGAGACAACAAGAAAATCACACTCATTCACAACCACAGCCAATAGCATAATTAGATTAAGTTCATTTCCTGATTGAAAAATAACTGACGACTGAGCCTCTCTTGCATATTTTACAACAATGCTTGTATGAAAAGACATGCAGCTTAGGTTGACTGGTGACTCTAAATTACCCCTAGGAATGCGTGAGTGTGTGGTTGTTTGTCTATCTGACACTGGGATCGGCTCCAGCACTCCCAGAACCCTATTCAGGAACAGTATGTACTGTATGTATGGATGGATGTTTAGATGCAGAATTTACCAGTAGATGGAGCCAGAAACATGTAAGAATTGTTATGTGGGGGAACAGGTTGGGACTGAGTGTGTTTAATGTGTCTTTATGTATCTTTGAGTACTGTACCTCGGTGTGTATTTTGATTTTCTTCTCATTAAATGCCACATGTGTTGCTTCAGGTGAAGACATGGCGAATGAACATGTTCACCATCATCCAGCTGGCATGCATTATTGCTCTGTGGGTAGTGAAGTCTACTGTGGCATCCTTGGCCTTCCCCTTTGTCCTCATCATGACGGTGCCACTGCGCCGCATCGTCCTCTCCAGGATTTTTGAGGAGCATGAGCTGCAGGCGGTAGGTTTGGCAGCAGAGGCATTCCAGTAATATGTGAATCTGTGCCACAATTATATGCTTCATAGCACATATTTTAAGGCAATGTTAACATGAGATGGAGGTTGGCATGTTTTTATATCTAACGCTAACATTTCTTAGAGAAATTCATGCCTGACATCTCTGACGATTGTCTCCTGTGATCATGGCCAGCTGTCTCATTCACATACTTTAAAACAATATGTAAATATTTCTTTTTGCTCTGGGTTCTAACCAGGAAAAGATTTACAGTGCGTCCTGAAACCAGGCAGTGTTTTCTTGGTTAGATCAACTAAACCCTGCATGTCATCACTGTCAGATTAAAAGCTCCAATTTCCAAAATGTCAACATTTTCAGGAGCTCAGATTAACCGATTTGTTTTTAACTTGACCGCTATTTGTCTTGTGTTCATCCAAAGGTCTCTTGAACCCAAGACACTGTAGAATTGCCTCGGCAACCTTAAAATGAATTTAAACAGAAAAAATGACTTAAATTTGATCTCCACGATGAACCCTCTAATCTTCATTCTCACATGAACCACATTATACTCTGTACATGTATTTTTTCCACATTTTTTTATTCATTGGTTTGTTGTTTCATTCTTTCAAAGAATCCAAAATATTTGGTAGCTAAGGTTACTTTCAGTTTTTAATAGTACTGCTTTGATATAATGTTGGATTTTAGCTCTGGTCTGGCTCATGGTCAAACAGTTTTCACAAACAAGCCAAGAGGAGAAGAGGTATACAAGCTAACAAGTTGGGAAATACAGTATGTACTAGCTTTTTTGCCAAGAGTTAGATGAAAGACTGATATCAATCATGTCTGTAGGCTAAATATGCAGCTGCTACCAGTTTTAGTTTGCCATGAAGTAGACAAGAGACCTAGTTATTCACATAGTCTCAGTACTATAATTTAATCCACACCAAAGTTCAACTCCCAGCTCACAAACTCACCAAAAGTGCACTGGAGTGTGTCTGAACAGCACCCAACAGGTTAGGTGTGAAGTCAGCCGAAGTTTCCTAATTTTGACCTGAGCAAACCTTGATTTGCTTTTTTTACAGCTGGACAGTGATGAAGATTCTCCCAACTTTGATGAAGATGGGCGAGATGAGTACAATGAGGTTCACATGCTTGTATAAATTAAAGTAGACCCAGCCAATAGGATCTCCTGCATCCTCCACCTCTAATTAGAACGAGCCTCTTTGGGAACATCATTGTCTCTGGCTACTAAAATTATGTTTGTAAAATGCACAAAAGTTATAACTGGGTAACTGCTTCTTTTTAAGAGCACACATAATGTTAGATGTGTTGTGTCAGAGGCCAGTGAATAGCTCTGAGCATCATACCTGAAATGGACGAAGAACTTTTCTCCCTATCGAGCCCTTTAATTACAGGTTGTGGGCATAAGTGCAATGATGATGGTGACCTCTATGGCTACAGCAGGCTGCCTGCTTTAGGCTAACTTTGGCACTGAAATGGGAAATAGGGTCAAGTTCCTTTCATTTAATTCCCCTATAAAGTGGACCTTCATCAAAAATCATTATTGTGCAGGTGAACTGACCCTAAATCCTGAAAACCCTGAATGAATTCCACTGCCTGCTTAGTTTAGCTGCCTTTCCTTTTATTCCACTGCCACTGCAATGATGTGCAACCAAGAACTTAAGTAGTCCTTTTCCTTTGTGTACAGATGTTTAGTAATGAGCACTCTGACTGAATGAACGTTTACTTTTGTTGCTGCCAACTGATCTCCCTGGCACAAAGCCTCCTCTCTAAATGTAGTCTCCCCCAGGAACCAAAATCTCTACAGAGACTGTGCAAGCCTCTTTAGGGGGTGTTGTTGTACTTTGTTAGGTGTTTAATGCCCAACATACCAGTCCATACCAGTCCAGTTAATATGGTGTCCGCCCTATTTTTCTACTTTCTTGCATATATTGATTTTGTGTCCTTCGCACTTAATGCCACGCCAGATTCTCAGTGATGTTTAGACTCCAAATAGCTTAAACTGCTCTGCGTTAGTATAAAATAAAATTAAAAATTAAAAAGTACTGTGTGGGCTGACACTCAAAGCAGAAACTATGTAACCACTCAGCCAGTCTTTCATCTCCTCTGCAAGATTTTCATAGCGTGGTGCATTTTTCACAGTTGTCATGAAAAATATAACACACCTGACTGGAAAAGCATAGAAAACTAAGCAAACATGCACGTGGGAACAGTTGAGTATTAGCAGAATGTATGAATGATGAATTGTACGAGTATAGTCACAGTGTGAGCTTGTAATTATAATGTACCGTCTGTGTTCAGGGCTGTTTGAATTCATTTTCATCTCCTATATTACAGAACTTTAATTACCATTCAGCCATGGCACTTTTCAGAAACCCTACTTCTCCCACACAGAAACACATTTTGCAAGTGCAAGTAAATAACACAAAAGTTCCTAAGGCAATGATGTGTTTGCCACTCCTGTTATCTGAAAACACTCAAATACTTACTTGGATGGGCATTTCATTGTCCACTGTTCTGCCAACACTATCTCTGCAGTGCACACAGTATAATATTCAGGGACAGTAGAGATGACATGATAGGTTTAAATGTTATAATCTGAAAAATACTACCGTAGATGCAAAGGATTAACCAATTCAAAATGGAAGAAGGCTTCTTGCCACGGTTCCCAAAATTCAGTATTTAGTCAATCATTTTCAGAACAAGTTGTGTTCAGAACACCTCAGTCTTCTAACACCTAATTTTTATTCATGTCCATTTCTGCATTGTATCTGCAGTTACAGAGAAATGTAAGTAGGAATCAGTAAAGTGTGGCTGCTGTAGAGGTTCCTGTAAATAGTTATCAAATCAACCTAAATAGAAACAAACTCACCATGTTTTGTTGTATTCACCTGATGGCTTTGTTGCTGCAGATGTACAGTCTATTTAGAAGTAAAGCACAGTTTATAATGTTCTAAGTGTACATTAAAAATCCATACTTGAAAGAGTCAGCAATGCTTTAGCTTATGAATAATAACCACAACAGTTACTATATCTCATTTCACATACATTGAGCCATACAAGAATCGTCTCAGGGGAAACCAACCTTTGATCTGTAAATATTGCTTCCCAGCCTTTAGTTTGGTGTCTTTTTTGTGTACTTAAAGCAGTCAAGGCAGTCCAACACTTGCAGTGTAAAAGTATACATGGCATATAGTCCAGGCTTATGTGTTATACAATGGAGAAAAGAATAATGTGTTTATCCAGTGAAGTGACGTGGAATTTTAACTGTAAATAAATCTTTTTTTCACTCCTGTTGCTCTCTGTATGTGAAGCATACACCTGCTGGAGACTGTATTAAACTCTGCAGTTCCCCAAGATAAGTTCCTGAATGTGCTTTCCTGTACATTAGCGCTCTATAACAGTTTCATGTGAAATTGGCTGTGCTGTGCAGCATGGGTGCAAAGACACTAATGTGTATTCTTTATTAGATGTGGCCCTGCTGTGTTCATGACCCTAATGAATGTAAATATTTGGCTTGTTGTTAGATCTAGCAAAGCTAATTCTAGTTTATGGAAGTTCATTAATGACCAAAAACATATGCAAGTGATTGCTTAGGGTTAAATATGCATTGAGCAAACAAAAAGCAAGTGGGGTCAAAGTGAGAATATTAAAATACTGAGGTTTAGAAACATGGGAAAAATCGTATTAAATGTTCTGTTAACATGTATATTCTGCTCAGTGGCTACACATTCCCACACTGTGTTTTGGCAGTTTTTTTCATGTAAACACCACCTCAAAGCAGAGCAGTCCCTTGTATCGATTGAAATGTGATTAGGTTATAATGTTTTAATTGTGACCCTAATAGCCTGTGAGCCAAAAAATCGTTGGCAAACAGTTTTACATTCTCAAGATATCCAGTCCTGTTAACTTAGCTTAAGAAAAGCAAGCACAGATTTTAGATAAAGTTTTACTGAATATGTTTAAGCTTATGAATCTGTCCAAGAGAATACCCATGGTTTGAGTCCGGCCGCCGACCTATGTTGCAGGTCCTCTCTCCGCAACCTACTAAAGCAGTTCAGGCTTATACTCAGTTAATCAAATGTACAACACAAAGAAACACATGCAAGTGCAATGAGAAACAAAAAAGAGACACTAATGTTGTTTGCTTAGCATCTGATGTAGCCTTTGACAGTTAATTGGTTGGCCATGGTGTTGGCAGGCATTTGCCATTGAAGTCCACTGCAGCTATGTACTTCCTGTGTTGGCTGACCTGCGGTGGTCAAGGAGCCATAAGGGTCTGGCCTTTGTTGTCAGAGAACACACATCTGTTAGACTGCTGAACACACCCACGTGCTCTTGTTATGTCTTGAATCGATATGTCTGTAGGCCATAGGTAAGAAAAAACCTGTGAGGGTATAGCTGACGAAACCTCCTTTCAGTATTTGCACAAGAGAAAAAATAAAACTGTAGGCATTATTGAAGTTAATAAAAGGTGCTTTGCTGCCACTCGGTCCTGTCTGGGTGTTAGATGTTGAATCTCGTGAGAGAAAAGAGTTATTTTGACCCTTAGAAAGATCTGTCCCATGCTGTCACCTTATACCACCATAGGAGCAGGATAGACCACCCACTCAATTGAGTAAAGACATCTGGCTGAAGATTCCAGCATATGGAATGGTTTATTTCTGTACGGTCAACTATTATACATTAGATTTACGTGAAACTAGACCATCTATAGTTTGGTCATACTGATGTTCTCTCAAAAGTAACAGAACTACAGTGACTAGTATGTTTTAAATACTCTATGAATTTCATTAATCTTTTTTTTTTTGCATGGCATACAAAAGGATAGGTTCCTTACAAAGACTAGTTTCCTGATTTTGGCTTCACTGACACATATTGTTTTTAATCTCCCTTGCTGTCAATAAAATACTATCCACACATGTTTTTGTGATTCACTAGCTGGGGCCCACCCTTCATTGTATGAAGGAGCATGGTGCTTGGTGTAACTTACATGAACTGTGGTTTGGGGTAGAACGACTTCGGGGATCTGGCAGACCCCCAAAACCTTTATGAAATGAGGGCTGATTGGACATGTTCGATGTCCTTTGGGTTGGATTTGAGGTACAGTTGAAACGCTTGAGAAGTCCAACGGCCCATGGCTTTGATATGATGTTCGAGGATGCTTTTACGCTGGGTTGTTGAAGCTGCTCCTATTCTGAATGAGTGTCCCGAATAAAGGTCAGGAGAGATAACAGAGAAGGAAAGGGTGATTTTGAAGTGGCGAAGAAACCAGAATCTTGTAGCAGCGTGTCTGGAGTTAGAGACGAAGAGGGGGTTGGTCAGAGAAGCGTTGAAGTGGGTACAAAGTTGTAGATGGTGGGTGAGAGGCTCGTAAGAGCTTAAGGCAGATTGAGCAAATATGTTGAGATGAACAAGTGGGGTTGTAGTGGATAGATTAAGACAGAAATTCGGTACATTTTAGGAGCTCGAGCAAAAGCGAGAAAAAACATGGCTTGCTTCCACGGATAATGGGTTCTGATGGAAGTAATACATCTTGATAGTAGGTCTGGAATAATGGGGAATCGTGCCAGCATAGTTGAGGCAGCCACCTGGTGACCTGTGGAACATGTCGGTCCAGGGGTGGCACGGAAGGCCAGACTGAGATGACGGTGCTGGTCCTGGAAATACTGAAGAGAAGTGGCTCCTAAGATAATGAAGAAAATAACTTCATCCAAGGGCAAAAGGGACAGACAATCCATGGTGAGTACACATGGCTTGCTTCCACGGATAATGGGCTCTGATGGAAGTAATGCATCTTGATAGTAGGTCTGGAATAATGGGGAGTCTTCTGGGAGTTTGTGCCAGCACCATCTGCTGCGGTCCTTTGACAAAGAGCTTTAATTGATTACTGGTTGCAGAAGATAGAGAATGGCCAAAGACAAGTTTGTAAATAAAAAAATTTGATACCATCCATAACTTCATCCAAAGGCAAAAGGGACAGACAATCCATGGTGAGTACACCAAGCATATGTTCTTCCTTATGAAAAGCAAAGTGGGTGTAAGGTTTGTTTGGTGGTCTAAATATTATAGGAGGAGGAAGGGGTGTGCACTTTGGGTGTGCCCTGCTCCTGAACTTTAGATTAAAATCTCCAATATAAAGAGCACGTCTTCCCTTTGTTTCGCCTCTGGTACTACCTCCCAGGGTGGACCACAGGCAGAATGACAATGGCCTGCCATTCCGGATTTGTGCCTTACACACAGAAAGCGAGATGGAATAAAAGTGTACAAATCCCACCTCAAAAATCAGTATGTAAGGGGCTGCTGTATGCAGTGGTGAAAAGTAACCAAGTAAATGTACTCCAGTAGTGCACTTAAGTACAGTTTTAGGTATCTGTACTTTGCTTGAGTATTTTAATTTTCATACTTTGACTTCACTGCATTTTACAGGCAAATATTGGACTTTTTATTCCACTACATGTACTTGAAAACTTTATTTACTTTTCAGAATCAGATGAATAAAGCAAAATACAGTACAATCATACAGTAAGACTTTACTGATCCTGGCAGTAATTAGGATTATAAGCATATACAGTAAGGTTTTAATATAGGTTTACTTTTACCAGATGCAATATTAAATTTTGTATGAATACTTTTACTTTTGGTATTTCAAGTATATTTTGTGGCTAATGCTTTTGTACTTTTACATACTGAATGCAGGACTTGTACTTGTAGAGTATTTTACACTGTGGTATTGCATTTACTTGACCACTGACATCTGTGTTTACCTGACATCTGTAGATGTAAACATAACTGTATGAGTTATTATGTTAAGTAGACTTAAAATGTCTCCGTAAAGTGTTTATTTAAAACTGTTTCTTGGTATTAACATGACATACGGTTGATTTACCTCAGTCTCTTTACCAGAGCTAGCACGTGTCTGAACGGGCTGAGACCCAGGTTAAAAATTACTAGTCTTTCTTTGTCAGCTCGTTACATCAGAGACCTAAAGTGCTGGGCATCTACGTGTTCCAGGTGGTAAGCCTAACACACAGAAGGGGCATTAAGAATGTGACAATGATAGCAGGTGCTATTAACATAATAAGAGTGGTGAATGGGGGGTCATGGACCCGTCCACAGAGTGAGAAATATGTTTGATGAACCTCCAAGAAAACTTTGTCGACCAGAAACCCATAACCCTTACACCAACCCACTTTGGCCCACTTGTCCACGCAGAACATCAGTTGATTGTAGGTGCTGCAAAGGAAGAGAGCAAGGAAGAGGACAATGTTAAATAAGTTATCAGGATTTCACTGAGATGCAATGAGGATTTAGTAATTGATATTTATTTGTTGGCTGAGATTTAGCTGTGGCTAGTAATTCATTTAATGGCAGTCTTTTAAAGTGACAATTATTGCTGCATTTAGACTTTAAAGGTTATGTTATAGTTGCGTGAAGCAGTGCAAACATTCCCATTATTCTGCACTTACAACTAACTGCATGTCCAGACAAGTGTAAGATTAAGTTCATGAATAGCTAGAGTAAAGGCCAGGGGTGAAAAAGAGTCCTTGAAATTAGTACAAAGTGACTTCAGCCAAAAACATCTGTCATTGGCAACTCCAAGCTTTTTATATATGGCAGAATCACTCACTGATATTTAGGTGATATTGCTTTTCACTTCATTTGTCACGTCTTTTGGATTGGGACGTGACCATAGCTTCATTAAATCATCATAAATCTCACAAACAGTTGTCACTAAAAGATGTTAGTCTGGAAAACATCTACTGAGATTCAATTGAGCCTGACAGCTGGAAACCTGATCAAAAAAATTGGGCTCCATATGATGATGGATGCACCACCCTCACGCACAATATGTGAACTCAGAGCTCAGCCCCAAACCATGTTAACAGTGAAATATGGATTATTACAGCCATAAATAAAGTCTGCTGTAGGTAACATGGCATAAATTAAAGTCTCAACAAATAACTGCTGTCTGGGAATCTGAGTCCAGAAGCAACAGTCTAATGCTTTTTCATTAAAAATGACTAATTTGCTGAAACCTGTACCCAACAAACAGTAATGACTTTCCCATGACTACAGGTGATGTCTTTCTGAAGAGGCCAAAGTGTGTAGTGTGCCACTTTACACAGTCTTACTGTTTTTGCTCAGTTGAACTCGGTGAAGGCTCCACATGCCAAGGCTCAAACAGCAAACATGCTGCACATGCATTTACACTACAGTTAGAGTAGAGTAGGTACTTTATTGATCCTACAGTGGGGAAATTTCTGTGTTACAGCAGCAATAGAGAACAACCAACCTAACACCATAAGAACAGAACTTCATAGAAACACGGACAAGAATACAACGAGGACACAGCTGCTGTAACTTGCTGCCACTCCACGCGGTGCATGTGTATGTAAGTACGTAGTAACAAAGAACACTTAATCTTAACCCTTGTGTTCTGTTAAGAATCTTAAAATAAAAAGTTACATAAAGGCAACAAAGCATTAGGACCGATACACACAAGGATTATAAAAGTAGCGTCATCAGAACGTTACATTTTACACAAATGAGCAAATCAAAGGCACCTAAAAACAGGGCAAAGCAGCCCTGGAGAGAATCAGGAACAGCAGTAGAGACTAAACAACCAGGAAATCAAGAACAATCGAATATTACTCACACAATTGATCCCACAATGAGGGAGAGAAACCTATGTTTCAGTCATAAGGATTTCTGAGCAACTACTCAAAAATACCTAAAGCAGGCCAATGTACAGTATTTGAGAGACACAGTTACTGTGTTTGCCAATCACACACTATTATTTACATGCTCTAAATTAATGTAGACCGTCTGTCCGCTCAAGTACTAGTAGCTGTATTTATTAATAGAACATTACATTAGCTAAATGATGACAAAAAAACTAAAATGTACCTTTTCACTCCAGGCCACGGACACCTGTCCTGATAGTCACTAGCCTCCATGCTCAGGTTGAACTCAGACAGACAGTGGTTGACTTTGCTATCAAACATGTGCTGGTCACATGGTGGAACAACAGATTTTTCAGCCATTCCTGGAGAAAATAACACAGAGAGAATACTGAGAGTACAGTTTTTTATTTAGAAAAGAATGGTTAAGGTTCTCTAGAAATCTGTCCTGCTACAGTCCTGTTGGTTGTTGCAGCCTAGTAGAGAGGATTCCCTTTACTGATTTAATGAGACTAAGTCTATGGTAAGTGGCAACATTTGAAAACAAAGTTAAAGTGAGTAGATTTTTTCTTTGCACAGAAACTGTTATGGTTGAGTCCCCCTCGCCAGGAGGGTGAGGGAGAACTGAGGTTGGACTCAAGTTGGCTGACCCAGGTGCTAGTACATAAAAGCAGGTTTAATGGGACAAAAACACAAAGTAACAACATAACAAGGGTCATGGACATATATAAGCAAAGTAGGGTAGAGATCCTTAATAAGACCAGGATGAACAGGGGGAAAAACAAGCTAACAGCAAAAAAACAGGAGAGTCAGAGGGACAGGACGGACAGGTGAATAAACAAGCAAACCAGGAGGGTAGGCGAACGAAAGCGGAAATCCACAGCACAGGAACTGTCAGCATGGATAACAAAAAAAGAACATCTAGCTAACCACATGGACAAAAAACAAACAAGGTGGTCCACAGCACAGGAACTGTCAGCGTGGACGTATAACACAAAAACATATAACCTACGTATATCATGCAACCCACAGCACAGGAACTATCAACGTTCAACAGAAACATTTTTCATTATCTGTCCCCTCCCCCGTCTCTGTAGGATGTCCTCTTTTCATCTTTTTCTGTTTCTGCTGTCAGGCAATTGAATGAGCATAACAGAAATTTGGTAATAGAAATGCTACCTATTAATCAAATAAGCAGTGACTCCTGCATTACTGCACTGAAAGTATTAATTCATGGATGATGGAGAAGATGTTTGACGGTGTCAACTTGTCTGCGCAAGCTTACATCATCATTTTCTATAAGACGAAAGATGGGGGGAAAAAGACCTCCAACACATTATTAAATGCAGGTTGCTCAGTGTGAACAATCTGACTGACACAGGGAAACAGATTCAAGGGAACCTGATATCATGGCTTACCGGTGCAGAAGAAGATAAGTGCCAGCAAGTAAGCAGTCAGCGCCATCTGTCAACAAAATCCAATAATGGAAAAAGTGAATCATCGGTGCACAATGCCTATGTTTGGATTGTTATATACAGCCTATTACAATAGATTCAAGTACATAAATGACATATTGCACTGTCAGTCCAAGGTCAGATCACTGTCATCACTAACACAGGTGTTTAAGTAGTGCAGGTGTATGTTGTGACTCAGAAAAATAGCTGATGTTCAAATAAACCTAGGAATCGGTGAGCTTAATCCATAAACAGTCTTTGCAGTAAACACAACACGCTGCAGACACAGTAAACAGGAAGTGAAGGTGCTTACCGCAGGAACAGGAAAAGCCATAGAACAATGTGTGACTATAGACGACTGTCTGAACTGGAAAATAAACAGCACATCTGTGTATAAGAAGGCCCGCAGCAGACTCTATTTTTTGAGGAAGCTGAGGTCCTTCAATGTATACAATAAGATGCTGGAAATGTTCTATCAGTCTGTCGTTGCTAGTGCCTTGTACTCCTCAGTGGTTTGCTGGGGGAGTAGTATTGCAGCCAGGGACTCCGATAGATTTAATAGGCTAATTAGGAGGGCTGGCTCTGTCATTGGCTGTGAACAAGAATCATTTGAGGCAGTGATGGAGAGGAGAACACTAAACAAGCTGTTATCAATTATGGATAACCCTGACCATCCTCTCCCATTTGTGCTTGATAGACAGTGGAGCTCCTTCTCTAAAAGGTTTAGACAGCTTCGTTGCTGTAAAGCACGTTATAGGAAATCTTTCCTGCCTTACTCCATTAATTTGTACAACACATCATCGTTAGACGATTCCTGGATTGATAGTAACTGTATACTGAATCACCTTTTGTATAGATTTGCATATGCTTGATTCATCATGTGATTATGTATATGTACTTGATTGTGTTGGGTTTGTTTTTAACTTTTAATGTATTTTTATTTGTTTTATATTTTAGTGGGTTATTTATTCTATTTATTGGTTTGTGTGCTTGATATTGAGTGTGAACCGCTGCTGAAACAATGCCATTTCCCAGATTGGGATTAATAAAGTATTTCTATCTATCTATCTATCTATCTATCTATCTATCTATACATCCATTCATCCATCCATCCATCCATCCATCCAACCAACCAACCAACCAACCAACCAACCAACCATCCATCCATCCATCCATCCATCCAACCAACCATCCATCCATCCTTAGACTGATGAGACCACAGTTGACCTGTTTAGTTGTCATGCACAGCTCTGTGTTCCCTGAGATAAAATGGGTCATGCAACAGGACAATGACTGCAAGCACATCAGCACAAGAACTAAAAAAAGATGATGTTGGAATGGCCTCAAATTCCAGACCTTAACCCCATTGAGATGCTGTGGCAGGACCTTTAGAGAGCTGTGCACAAATGAATGCCCTCAAACATCAATGAACTGAAGCACACTTAGAGAGAAGTGATACGAGAGACTCATAAACTTCTATAGAAAAGATTTACTTCAAGTTATTGTTGCTAAGGGTGGGTCTACATGTTACTGTTGTTTGTTTGTATGTAGAAGCTGATGAGGTCCACACAACTGCTTTTATTGAGAGAGAGAGATCCCATGTCGCAACAGGGAAAAAAAGCCTTCTCTCTGGTATTAGATCTCCCACTCCTTTAAGAATGTAACCATTGCCCAGCTGTATTTCTGGCCAAGCAGCATTTTTAAGAGTTTCAACGAGTCTTCACATTTTAAAAACATAAAATAACAAGCTCTATATAAAACAGACGCGACAGCCATCTGCTTCCTGAACATTCCCACAAATTAATGGCTTTATCTCGTGGGAGGTAGATTCTGAAAACAGATGTTACCAGGGAATGCAATGAGAGCAGCCCCCCCCCAAAGATGTACACATGTAATGACTGTGTGTATGAAACAAGTAGTGTATATGCTGTGAATTCTCAATGTGGAAAGTTAGACCATGGAACTTTCCAGAGTTTATAAATACATTTAATGTCTTTTACATTAATTACATTAATAACTACACGTGCAATATGTGAATTATGTAAAGCAGGTATATAATCTTAAAACTCCAAACAAATAAGCAAAGAGAAAAAAGGCTTGAGTGGTGCATACCTCAGCTTTTATGTTTGCCCCTTGTAGACCCCGGGTAAAATTTATCTTGAATAGAACCAGTGACAGAGACGCTGCAAATCCTTAATGTACCAGTCAGCTAACAGATGCACAACTGTATGGTCACAAAACGCTTCTGTGCTGCTCTGATCCAGTTTGTTATCAATGCAAGTTAGAGCTACAGTAATTAGATTGGGCAACAGTAATGGACAGCCTGCTTCCTTTCCCAGACTGAGTCTGGCTGTTCCCATGCTGCCCAGTGATATGTTCCATACACAATCCCCCAGAGACATTTGAACTAAGAGACCTCACTGTCAACAGGCCTGCATGGTGATGTCTCACATATTTAACATCAATGTCTGTTTTTGGTGAATGTTCCTCCTATTCAGTGTTAGCGATATGGACTATATTCTGCTATCCCAGCATGCACTCAGCAAAAAGTGGAGACATGCCCTAAACAGAGTGTCAGGCCAACACACACACACTTCAAAAGTGAACATGTCCACATACACACAGATTTGGATTCACATATATTTTAGGAAATTGCACTTATTTACATTGTTCCCTGGAGGTACAGAAACACCCCATTCAACAGGAGAACACGTTTAGTGATGCGGTGGGTAGAGCAGTTGTCTCCCAACTGGAAGATTGAGGGTTCGAATCTTGGTGCCTGCAGTCCACATGTTGAAGTGTCCTTGGGCAAGACACTGAACCCCCCAAGTTGCCTGTGATGGCGGCACATATACACACAGCGGCCCAGAGCCCTCAGCTCCAAATATAATTTTGTTGTACGTGTCACAATGTTACAATAAATAAAGCTTCTTCTTCTCCTTGCTTGTCCGTTTGAATTTCCTCTGGGTAGCAAAAAGCAGTAGAAAACATCTAAAAGTGAAAAGGCCCTAAAAGCATTATTACCGGCAGTTACCACAGCTGACATGGGGTTTGGCACAAAAACCATCATTACAGTCTCATAACTCAAAGCAGCATTAATTCATTTGTTTGGTTACCTGTGGGCAACTGAACAAGCTGTAACCAAAGCACTGACATATTATTATCTTATAATGTTATAATGAGCATGCGAGCAAACAACTGCATAGTCACATCCAGCAAATGCAGAGCAAGATCCATCTTAATTCAATTCCAGCTCTAGATCCTCCATGATATTCATCAGTTAGTCACCAACTTTGCTCATTGGACCTGTGGTGCAGGGCAGGTAGTGTTCTGAGCTTTTAGAGCTTTTGTTGTAACTGGAAACAAATACAAATGAAAGGAAAATGCATATTATGGTGTTAATTCTCTATGTGGTCAGAGGAGTTTTAGATATGTTTTATGGAAAAAACACAGTTGTTTTAACAGTAAGTTATCAGTAACTAAATATATATATTTTAAACATTTGTAATACTGATGATTCACAAGTGTTTAGCACTATAATATCAGATTGGTGTCAAACTTTCAGTTGGCCTTCTATTTACTTCTCTCCTTTGAATTATACCCATTGACTAAGGAAAATGACTGACTGTGGAAAATGTGACCACCTTTCAGTGGCATTCAATTTGTCTTGTCTAAAATTACTCTTTGAAAGATGGATCTTTCAGGAGCCCAGTTAAAATACCTCTCACCACTGCACTATCAGGTTGTTCCGCTAAGGGTGAAATTAAACATTCCAAGATTGTTCAGCTATTGCCCATTCATTTGGAGTTGCTAAGAGACATAATACACATAATATAATCATAATCCTCCTGTGCATGGAGAAATATTGAGTGGTCATTGGAAAACATTTCCATTTCTCTAAATTGGAGACATAGTAGTTTAAATGACAGCGCAAACGGCGTACACAGCAGACAGACGCAGTTTGGTGAATGCTCTGAAAGGTGATGCACATGCTGTTAGGACAGTGTCTTTCATTTATAGAAATGGAAATGATTCTCTAAGGTAGGAGCAAGAGATGAAAGAGAAAGTCATGCATGGTAAATGTGAAATTAGACTTATTGTAATTCTTTGCTTTCCACACATTTGCTATGCGTATACCCACTAGCCTTGTATGAATGTGGTAAGGTTCTACTGTATAATTAACTGATATTTGTATTACCCTCCTGTAAAAATTAGATGGATGGGGCTATGATCATTCAGTTAGGTGGGTCATTTGGCTCCTGGATCCAGCTCCATAATAAACAATAAACCATTACTGACCAGCAACGATTTACTGACATCAAAGTGTTTTTAACTTTTCTGTTTCTTAAGCCTCAAGCATTCAGAAATTTTGACAGCAGCTTATCTCATATATTTGAGCTGAGAATTTAATCTTGTTTAGAAGTCAGTCACACCAAAGCAACAAAACATACCATTCAGAAGCTTTTCTTTTTTCAGCACCGCTCCTGGAGCAGTCCTTTTTTTTCCAGTCCAGAAACCTTATGCAAGTGAGGATAGATGGCTCTGACAGACATTACTTCATACTCCCAGACCAGCTACATTGAAGTACGGTATACCATGAGCTACACTGACATCACACTCGAGCTGCACTGTAGGCCTGGAAACCCTTGCGTGCATCATAGGGACAGTGAAAGACAGGCAAATATCTCCTCGTGTAAGGGGCGAGACATTTCCTGTTAGCGCACAGTTGCCAAGGGGAGCAGCACATGCTTCATCGTGTGACTGTGCATTAGTCCATCGTTACATCATGTGTCACCATGTAATCATCATTCATGACTGATTCTTGTACTCCTCAGTATCAACAGTAAAGCCCCATGATATTAACTTTTCTGTATCAATTAATGGAGCAAAGTTAATTATTAAGTTTTAATATAACTTGAAGTTATTCTTTTTGGCCTGTTCTGTTCAGGAACTTTGTACATACTGTGTATATACTGTGTATTATTGGTTCATTTAATGACGCGCCAGGAAGTAAACTTTAACCTAATTCAAAGAATATAAAGTCATTTTAATTTATGCTAATACTTTTGTACTTTCACTTAATTTTACACAGGGATTTTACTTGTAACCGAGTATTTTTACACTGTGGTTTTGCTACTTTTACTTAGGTAAAGAATCTGATTACTTTTTCCACCACAGGTGGCTGTTTCATGGGTAAGGGGATAGGTTAATTGTATTCAGAGGTTAATATATTCATGTTTCCTTTTTCTATGAAATGAATTATAATTGTTGGAGCAACTTGAACTAAGGCACATGTAAGTTTCTATTTAAGATAAGACAGTAATACCTGTTGAGGTGAGTCAGATCAAACTACAGTGAGTGTGTTTATTGTAATAAAACAACATGTCACCTGTTGCAACAGAGTGGAGCTCACTGATGTGTTTTTAATCAAATGAGATTTATTGACCATAAGAAGAATAACAACAGATTTATTCATTATCAAACTCAGTATGCACAAGCCCTCTTTGTTTGGCCTGTGGAAGAACTGTTGTTTATTTTTAGAGGGTCCACATAAAAATAAAGCATATCCATGTGTTTAGTTATTGTTAATACTTGTGGTTTGTGGTGTGATTCTTTCTTGATTGAATCCAGCTATTCACATGTATTTGTTATGTCACTGAGTTGTGAAATTCATCTGGTCCAGTTGTGCCACTGTGATGACCTCTCCAGCTGTTTTCTTTATTTTATTTTATTTTTTT